ATGTTTTTTTACCATATTTTTTCTATTTATATTCTCTTCAATTAAAAAAAATAATAATTGTGACTGATGTGCTGAATAGTCATAAATATGGATAATTATCGCAATCCTGTTCTATATCCTTAAAATATACTACTTATCCATACAGAACAGAATCACTGTCTACATTTCCATGCTATACTGTAAAGCTCAAATGGTCTTGTAACTGTATGTCAAGTAAGTCTTTACGAAAATGGGGCCATGGTGGTCGAGCGAGTCAAGGCACCTGCAAAATTTTATATCAAGTGTTCAAAATTCTGTTCATGGGAATCAATAACACACTTACAAAAAAAAAAGAACATTATTATTAATAAATTAAAATAATTAAATGTATGCCCTACTTGACTACTTAGACCACTACGGCGCGGGTTTGATTCCCACATGGAGCCGTCTATAAAAACCAACAAAATTATTTATTAAATCTTGTTATCTGAAGTAGTTTTTTTGTATTATTAATCATTCATAATTTTTTGTAACTTTAAATTAAAAAAAAATAATGATTTAATTTCAATTATAATAAATATTTTAATGATTTAATAAAATATTTAATTGAATTTATTAACCTGAATTTACTAGGCAGCCTTCCTTTTTAGCTAGATTTTTTTATAAATTAATTATATTTATTTATTATAAATTTCATTGTTTGCATTATGTTTTACTGAGGCGAATTAAGTATTAAGTGTTGTAAGCAGCTCTTCAAGGTCCCGGATAGCATAGGTATCTTCAGTTTTAAAATATCTTAAATTAAATATTTTGGAAATGTAAGCAATTTTTTATCTCTCCTTCCTCTCCATTAAAAACCTGTACCACTACAACCCATGAAGGGTCTTGGGTTCAGTACTATTTAGGGAAAGCACTGTTTCTTGGTCCACGGTTGTGCAAGGAGGTGATTTGACCGAGATCACGCTCAGCCGTCAGGTTTTCACCTTAACCCATTATTTAAACTAAGGGTACTCACTTTATAGAGGCTGAGTGTGCCCCAGGAGGGTCTATCTACCCAGGGTCGCCCCACGGTTAATGAAACAGAATAAATAATTTTTCTGCCATGAGCTGCCGGGATTCGAACCTGGGACCTTTAGCATTGGAAGTTCAGTATCCTACCACGGAGCTACACAACTCCTTCCCATTAAGTAATCAAATAAATCTTAAATTTATAGCCTTAACATGCTGAGTAAATTTTACGATTTGTTGAAAAAAGAAGCCCAATTTTCTTGGTTTGAATGGTAGTGTAATAATGTTACTGTCAATAAAAAACATAGCTTATAAGATAATGAAAAGAAGAAAAAGAAAAGAGAAGAAAAAAATCTGGTGTGTCCACTCGCACGACTTTCCTACCTATTTCAGAAAAGTTTTTATATCTTCAAATATGTCCATTACCCAAAAAAAAAAAAATTAATTAGATTTATTTTCCTTAAAATTGATTACTGAAAAGATTTTAATACGATTTCTTTGATTAACTAAAGCAATGTAAACCAGCTTGTGTAAGATCAGCATAAAAATTCAAAACACTCTAATATTACTAATCAAAAACTTTTTGCCGCAGCCCAATTTTGCCAGATAATAATTTCTGTTAAAATAGGCGAAATAGTGAAACTTGTGTAATGAGGGCACCAGATTTTTTTTTCTTTCACTTACTTTTCTTTTTTCTCTCTCTTTCACCCCTTTCTGTCACCGGGATTTAAACTGATAATCTTACATACGAAATTGACTAGCTGTAACTTCATTAAAACTTGTTTCGTAGGTAATTTAATTACCTTTCAAAAATATTCATGTACATTTATCATAGAATATATACTTAACGAGTTAGGCCCCAAAACATATTTCATTTCTTTATAACTTTTTTTTGCTGAATTTTCTCGGAAATTTAGTGTAATAGAAAATGTACAAAAATTGAAAGGGCCTTAATTAGAAAATTATAGGAAAGTTTCATCAAATTCGTTGTTTTTGTTTTAAAGTCTGTAGAAAAATATGTTTTTCACTTACTGCGATTGCTCAGGGAGCATCCAATTTGTGTCACAGGCATCAATAGTCAAAACCCTACAAAATAAAAAAAGAAGCAACAAAATTGGTTTACTAGTTCCCGAGATAATCTTGGCACAGACAGACATACCAATGGTTAAAAATGTGTTTTTCTGATTCAGGGAGCTGTGAAACGTATAGATCTGTCGAAAACCGCACATTGGAAAATTGATCCGATCGTAATATTTTCTTACCTGTTATAGATAGGTAAGTTAAAAATCCACTACAAGAAGAAAAGAAGGTCCAAAAATTCAGAATTGGAACAAATGCAAAACGAAGGTCACCAGAACATCTTTCAAATAGCAAACAGAAATAGAAAAACATTCAAGCAAACATCATTTATATGTGTGAGTAAGGATGGCACCATTTGGCAGAATGAAGGCACTTCAAAAAACTGTATAATGGACTAATAGAAGAAACTATAGAGCAGAGCCTCCAGGTAGAGCATGAATATGGAGGAGATCTAAAATCGCCAAATGAAGATAAAATGTCTGAAGCAGTCAACCAACTGAAGCACCTTAAAGCTCCTGGGATTGAATTATTTAAATTTGGTGGAAATGAATTTTGAAAACTCCATTTTCACTATTTGGTGTGAGGAATCTATTCCAGCCTAGAAAACAACTATCATATTGTTAGTTAATTCCAAAAAGTCACAAATTACATTTCTGATGAAACTGAACTTTCTTACATGTGAATTTTTATTTTATTTATTGATAAAAAGAACACAGTGACTAAAATGACATAAACTCTTTCATATGCCAAACATAGTTAGTTACCGCAATCATAAAATTTCCAGACATCGTAAAGGGGAAATTCATCAAAGTTCTTAATGATTTAAGGTTAGGGAATGATACTTAATGACCTTTTGCAATTAACTGGTGATATGCCAGGTTCAAAAAATAAATGAATAGCTGAACTTCACAAATTACCGTGGAATTTCATGACTTAACTGTACTTAAAAGCTATTCTCAGAGTCCTCCCTGTTGCTGAACATGAGATTGGCACCTACTAATGTGGATTTATGTGTAAGTCTATGATGATAAACTCGTAAACTTAATTAGACTAATAATATCTGAGATGGAGTGCATTGTGGGGATTAATGGTGAAATATCAAAGTATTTCACATCAAGAAGTGGTGTAAGACAATGAAATGCTTTATCATGTCTCTTGTTCAATCATACCCTATAACGAGCTATTCGAAATTCAGGATTACAAACCATAAGTACAATTTTCTACAGAACGGTCCTATTGCTTGCATATGCTGATGTCAATGATGTGTTCAAAATCAGCTTTGTTAAAGTTAAACTGGTATTCTTGACTCTTGGGACTGCTGCTAAACACCTGGGTCTTACTTTAAATGAAAACAAAGACAAATATATGGTATCTGAAGAAGAACCCAGGCATCTAGGAGTGAAAGCAAAATTTGGTCCTTAAAATTTAAGCAGGTTTCTTTATTCACTTACCTACACTCACAGATCACAAGTGATATTTAGGTGTCAGAAGAAATGAAAAACTAGGATCTTGTCAACTAGCCAAGGCTACTTTGCACTGCAAAAATACCTGTTAAGTAGATTTGTTTCTCAAAGGGCCAAGAAAGTCCTATATAAGACACTAATGCCCCCAGTTCTCATATAGGATCCAAAAAATGGACTCTAAAGCTGAGAAAAGAGACCTACAAATTTTTGAAAGAAAAGTTTTGAGGCATAAATGTGACTCTTTTTTTTTAAATACCCCTACCTCGCCATTCATAGCCCATGGAGGATTTTTCTAGAGGTACAACCAAACCTATTCTAACCAGAATGGAGAGGTCGAGATTCCTTCCATGAGACAGCCACAAAATAAATTTTAATCCGCCCAGGAAAGTATATTCTTTAACATGCTCTGCCATCGCGACCTTCAATATATGGACCTATCTGTCCAGCAGGAGTGTGGAGGTAAAGAAACAATCAGGAATAACTCATTTAATCTCCTGCCTCTCCCCTGACCCAGGAAAAACCATGTATAGCCGAAAAGGCAAGGAAGGAGCGTTGAAAAAAAAAAGGATTTGTTTGACTCTATGGTTTAAGTTTTTGATTTCCACAGTCACTCTTACACTTACCCCAACATTGCCCATATGGAACAAGTGTAACCAGAGGGTAATGCTTGTCAAAAACAATATTACCCATAATAGACTTATTTATTTAAAACCATTTTTCCTATTATTTCTGTTCATTTTATTTTGTTTAGAAATATAATTTAAATAAACATAAGCAGGCCTGATCTAAACTGAATCTCATATATCCAAGTTACATCAAAAAGTTAAAGCAATGAAGGTCTATCTATCTATCTATTAGCAATGATGATCACAATAGAAAAGTAATATTTGTTTTTACAAAGAAACACTTATTTTTTATATTATTATGTTTTGTTTATTCCTCAAAATGAAAGAAAATTTCCTGGAAACGGGAGCTAAGCATGAGAAATTTGAAAGTTATACCCGTAATAACAAGTTGGTAATTTGTGGTAACAAATGAACCATTTCAAATATATATGTATAGAATGAATTTATAATATAAAATTTATGGGGTTATAAAAAGTTTATATAATACTTATATTGTTTTTATCAATATAGTAAAATATTATATCTTTCTTTCTGTTCTTTAGAAGTAAAATGACCTTGTCTAATTTTTTCATCTTAAAGTTTTTATTATTACTGGTTCTTGTAAACTATTGTTAATGCTTCATAAATCATTAATACTCTGATTTATATTTTCTTCATATCTTACTTAATATGAAGAAACATGCCTCTGATTAAATAATATATTCAAATATACTTATGTAATATATTTTTTTTTCAAATTTCAGTTATATTTTACCTCATAAATAGATTATTGTTAACTAAACCTGAAATGTTTTTATATGAGTACTTAGTAGTTGGAATTATTGTTCATTTTCTTAATTTTTAGAGTCTTTTAAGCTCTGTTGAAAGAGTGAGGATGAAAGTTGTTGAGCCTTTTAATCGAATAGAATCTCAAACTCTTGTTTTATCAAGACTTCACGCAACTTCAGATCTATTAAGAAGAGCTGCGAGAATTCAACAACTTGTGAAAAGACTTCCTGGACTAGATCCTCTCAGAACTGCTCATATAATTTCTGAATTAGGTAAGAAAATCTTATATTGCTTCAATAATTTTGATTAATGTCATCTATTAACTTCTTTTTGTATAATCTAGGGGAACTGTACCAAGATGTAGATCTCTCTGGATTAGATATTCTGGAATCAGAGGAAAGGCAGATAAAAAAAGAAAGAGCTGCAGTTGAACAGAAAGCTTTGAAAATAGTGCAACAGGGATTGCTAGGCCTAGATCAAAATCAGGTCATTATTTAAGATTAATTTGTACAATAAATACTTGTGGTATTTTATATTATTTAAAATTGTAATTGGTTTGTTTTGATTCTAGGTTGCTGTTGGTATAGAAATCATGATTAAATTAAATATAGCTGAAAAAGAAGTAAATTCTCTGATGGAAGAGGCGATAAAACAAGTTAAGAGCAGTACGAAAAATGCACTTGATATGAATGTTTTAGTTCCTCCTACAGTTAGAGGTATCTTTGCATTTCCATTATTAGTATTTTTATTCAATGCTCCCTACTTTGTCACAAATAAAACTATCCATACCGACCTTCATGTACCATATGTTTCTGATTTAGCTCAATCCAGATACCTATCCTTCCATAATAAACTTCTGAACCATCTGAACCCTCTTGTTTCCAATCTTGCTTCCTCTTCTATCCCCGATAACCCTCTGAGGCGTCTGAAAAGAAGATGGCCTTGGGACCTTCTAATATAGAAATATAATAGGAGTGCTACCAGTGGGTAGTTTCTCTTCATGTTGTATATGTCATGTTACTTGTTCGAATTTACTTGTTGTATTTATCGTTTATACAGTTGTAAATTTCAATAATAATAATTTTTAAAAAGTATTTTTATGGTATAATTTTCTGATACTTCTATATTAAAAATAATTTAAAAGTAATTTTTTAACTTTAATTTTAACATCTCACTGAAGCCTTAAAATCTACATATATTTTAATTTTAATTCATGATTAATATTTCTTCTATTTTAATTAATTTATCCTGACATTTGTGAAAAAACATAATTAAGTAAGTTTCTTACTACCATTATTGGTTGGTAAAATGAGATTGCTTAACAGACACATGTCTTTAAGTTAGCCAGACTGCTAATTTTTTATTTCAAAATCCTTTTTCATCTTTACCCCAACATTTAATTTCTATAACTTCTAAATTATCAATTCATAAAGGAGTATAAAACTGGATTATTTTTACATTCACTTCCTTATATATTAATATATAATAATGGAAAGTATTGCGATCATGAAAATTTTTGAACTTTCATGCAAAATGTTCTGTGTGTGAACAGTCTAGCACAAAAATGAAAAGTCATACAACCTGATGTTGCATATTTAAGATAGGTATATGGCTGGGATGTTACACCAACTTTTTCCTTAAAATCAGCTTTCCGGAAGTGGCACTTTATATCATCGATTTTATACATTTTTATAATTTTCTTAAAAATGGCTCAAACTATTTTGATTAAACACGGTGTATCATGGTGTAATTAAGTGGCCCTTAATATAATTAGGTTTTATCCCCATTAATGTCACGTTACAGGGCTTAAATGCCTGTTCAACATTTCTTCCTCTAAAGTACCCTTAATTTGGTTTATTTTAAATAATTAACTATCTCTTATTGTTGCAATTTACAGTGAAATGCTAAATATAACTTATGAAAGAATTTGGTAGTTGGAAAATGGAGGAAAAGGGGAAAATGTTTATTTAGGTCGAAAATGAATCTCTGGGAATAATAGTCAGAAGATGTATGTATAATATATCGTTGAAAAGTGTAGAATTTTAGAAAAAAACAATATTTAATATAGAAATTCGTATAAGGTAATGGAGTGTGGCGAAAAATTATAAATAATAATTTGTGAAAACTAATATTGTTTAACAGAAATCACATGTTTCCAGAAAAAATTAAATAAAATTTACTAACTAAATCTAAACTTTTAAATTTTTTTTTAAGTTCTGAGGTTTTTATTGCCTACCGTTGATGCAATTAATAGGATTTTGTTATTTTAATGGTCTTAATGATTTGTTAGCTATAAGCTTTAAACTGTAGCTCCATTAAAAATGCACTTCAATAGTCCAACATTGCCAGAAAATAATTTCTTTTCAAAATAGAGCGGTAAGTGAAAGTTTGTGTTGCGCAGACCAGATTTTTTTTTTTCATTAATTGTGAAGTTAAACCACTTACATATCCACAGGCTCAATTATTTAACTTGATCAATAAAAATATTTATTTAGAGATTGGTGAAAATAACTGTTTCTTATTAATTATGTCTCCATAAACAGGTTATTATTATGAAACATAAATGTTATGATTATAAACAATATGTTATTTTATAATTTTTAATTAAGGTGGTGCTGGAAGGGTCTCTGGTGTCAATATACCAACTAACATTCAGTATTTCCGTAACAAATTATGGTCATCCTGGGAACATACTTTAAGCTCTACCATTTACCCAGTTTGTTGTCAGGTAATCAATTGCTTTAACAGTTAAATTTTTCACATTTATTTGAATAGAAAATCGTATTTCATTATTACAGATTTTTTGTCTTTAAAAAGATATTATTAGCATTATTATTGAATCTATAATATAATTTCATATCTGGGGAAATCATGAATCAGATCACAGAATACAAATTTTAGAGATATATCAATCTAAATTGATCCATAAATAATGTTATTTCAAACATTTTGGAGTTTCCCACTTGATGAATAATGGAAATGGAAAAGTATACCTATTATAAATACCTGATGGAGTTGGTGATATCATTGAAATATTCTTGGTCAGCCACCAGTTTAGAATAAATTGAATTAAAAAACACTGCAGTTTTAATATGAAAGTAGGATTGGCATTCATTAAATTGGTTTATACTATTTTATGCTTACCTTCGATTGCAAATTTGTGGTAGTGGCAGTTAGGTATTCGGTGTATAATTAAATAAAATGTTGTTTTTACTTCAGTTGAAGATCTTGTTACTCAGCCTACTTCGTTCATATTTTATTGTACTTACCGTTTATAATTCTAATAATCTTATTCACATTGTTTATAAATTATGTCTAAATGAATAAAATGTTGTGTTTTCTCTTTTAGATGACTCTGATACAAAATGTGCTTAATAATAAAATTGGCGACATGTGTCTCTCGCTTCCTGAAAATGAAAAAAAATCTGACTTAGCTTACATATTTTGGTCCGAGGTAGATACCCTTATGAAAAGAAGTCTCTTGAAGGCAGCAGAAGGTATATTTTGAGTCCACTGTCAGGTTTATTATTTTATTAATTTATCCTAATCATTGACTTTAATTGAAAATTAGGATCTTCTTACACAAAGCAAGCTTTGGAGGTAGAATACCCAAAGTTACTTCGAATGCATTTAGATTTTCACAAGAAGCTCCAAACTCTTAACCTGCCTGGAAGTTCTAAACCTATTTTTCCTGTGATGTATGTGTTTATTTCATTCATCTTGTTAAAAATGAACACTTTGATTACTGCTATGAACCACATTTATTTAAATTTAATTATTTATTTTAGTGGAAGCTGTCTGAAGGATTTTGAAACCGCATATTTGAGCAAGTCAACAAATGTTGTCCTAACATCTGTAAGAGAAATGTTTTCAGAAGGAAAAGAAGCTACTCCATACCATCCTCCATCCTCAGATAAAGTTGATTCTCTTGTTAAAATGATATCTAAGTATGTGAATATTATTATATTGAAGTATTAAATTAAAAGCATCACTGTCTTACATAAATTCATTTCAGTGAGCTTAGCGTTGCCCTTGTGGATTCAACTTTGACAGAAGCTGTTGCAAAAAATGTTGTCGCCAAAGCTATCAAACTGTTTTGTCAGAAAGCAGAAGAAATGATAGTAACCACACCCGAAGCATCCCAGGTTATTGGTAAGTTAAATTCTTAACAATAATTTTTTTTAACCTTAAATGTTTCAAGTGACATTTAGTCAGTAATTCAAATTAATAATTTAAAAAATTAGCAATTTTTGTGTTTTATCAAAAACAACTGTTGAATGCCTGTAAGAGTTAGCTTGGTTAATTTACAATGTACAAGACTTTTTTTTTTTTAATATTTAACAATATTAAGAAATGTGTGATTATTGAGATAAGTTAATATCTTTCATATACTTTATTATCTTTATTCATTTCAGAGTCACCAAACATAAGCCAGGAATTGAATATTAGCATAGCTAATAGTGTTTTCTACTTTTCTGAACAAGTGAAAAACGTTCTGAATAATTTGAATGTAAAGAAAAGTATTGCTTCTTGCATTACAAATGCATTACGAAATGGTGATAAGTTGACACAAGAAATCCTCAATCCACTCCTAGCTTCAGTCATTGTTGCTATTGATTCCATTCTGCTGACCATGCATAATGAAGATTACAACTTGTAAGCTAATGGATATTATAATTAATTTTTAATCATTTTTTTCCACACCATTAATTTGCTTTTCTTAACAGAAAAGAATATAGCGGTGCTTCATCATTATATATGAGGGAACTGCAAGCGTTTGTTGCAAGAGCTGCAACAACATATTTGTCACCTTTCCAAAATTTGAATCTTGTTACGCAGTCGTAAGTTTTTAATGAATTTTATATTCTTGTTTTATAATATATAAGTTATCATAATCAGGTTAAGTAGATTAAACTAAATTTTAAATTATCTCGAGATATATAATTAAATTGGTTCTATTGAGGTAGAAATCCTGTTTTAATATTTTTTCTTGAGTCAACACAACCTTAAATCAAATACTTGTAGTCCATAAGTTCTTAAACAATTTTGCCATTAACTTTATATCTCAAAATTATTCAGTTTTATTTAAATAACTTACTAAACAAAAATCCTACATGATCAAGACTATTTGCATTTGATTTAACTTAACTAATGTTAATGTTTTTCATTACTAAAAAAAAACTGGTCAACAAAAAAAAGTTGTTCAAGATGGGCTCCACACACTTCAAACTTAGGTTTAAGAATCCATACTTTATTCTTATTCTTATTTGATCCAGAGGATATAGACAGTCCAAAAGCAGACTAAATTTTTAAAATGTTTTTTCTTTACAAAATCAGTTTTATATTTATTGTTTTGTTAATTAGGTGTCTTGAAGTTTCTTCTAGAACCTTGGAATTATTTATGAGAAATGCAACACTAGTTCGCCCAATTAGTATCCCTGGGCAAAAAAAATTACTATCTGACTTCAAAACTGTAAGTTTACAGATTATTTACTATATTATTTATTTTAAAAGATATATATATATATATATATATATATATATATATATATATATATATATAATATTATGTATCATATCCCTGAAGTATTTTGTAAAATAATTTTTAGGTTTTTAGAAAAAAAAATTGTAGTGAAAAATTAAAAAAATGTTTACATCCTTAACATTATATCCTAAATACAATGATATATTGCAGGAGAGTCCCACACAATCCTGTCTGCATAAATAGCGGAACAATGTGAGAATGTTTTAATATACAGAATGTTTGTTTTCCATAAGTAGAGGGAAATTTTTATAAGAGTGATAATAGACCTGAAAGAGCTACAAAAAAAGTCCATATAAGCAATGAGCCAATTTTCAGCAGAAAAATGGGAAATCCAAGTTTTGTGTTTTTTTAAGTGCTGTTGTCGGTAACTAAAGAAAAATTTAATTTAAGTAGTTAGCTTCACTGTAAACTAAACAAAATTGACTTCAAATTAAAATTGAATTTGTCATTGTTAAAACCATTTAAAGAGCACTTTTGAGCAGATATACCAAGCTGTTATATTTAAAAAAAAAAATCATAAATCATTCGCTTTTTTTTTTATATCATCATCCAATTATACTACAGATACTCCACTTATAAAAACACTTCTTTGTTTAATAAGCCTCAATTTTGAATTAATTAACTATTAGGGAAAAAATTGAGATTCACCTCAAGTTGTGTAAAAAAATCTAATAAAGTAAAATCAATCCTCTAATCAAAATCCTACAATATAATAATTTTCTCTAATAAACCTCAATTTAATTTATACAGACTTAAAGCTTATTAAACGAAGAAGTTTTTCTAAAAGTGGAATATCTGTAGTATAGTTGGACTGATGACTAAAAAAAATATCGTGAATGATTTATGATTTTTTAAAAAATAGAACTTAGCTTGGTATAGCTTCTCAAAAGTCCTCTTTAAATGGTTTTAACAGTGACAAACTGTATTTCCATTTGAAGTAAATTTTGTCTTGTTTATAATGAAGCAATTTTTAATTACTTAAATTAAATATTTCTTTAGTTATCACTCTTATCCAATAAAAAACATGACTTACTTCATTTCCATTTGAAGTAAATTTTGTCTTGTTTACAATGAAGCAATTTTTAATTACTTAAATTAAATATTTCTTTAGTTATCACTCTTATTCAATAAAAAACATGACTTACTTAAAAAAACACAGTATTTAGATTTCCTTCTGAAAATCAATCCATTGTTTATATGAACTTTTTTGTAGCTCTTGAGGTCTGCTACCACTCTTATAAAAATTTTCCTATACTTACGGAACTCCCTGCATAATCAGTGCCACAACCCAAAAATGCAGTATTTTTGAAAAATCTATTTAACATATTGCAAAAATTATATTGAAATATTATAAAGCTCAATTTTCTGTAACTATTTCTTATCATGAACCTTCTTAAGTAAAAAATAAATTAAATAAAAAAACTTCTTAACCATGTACAACGGTAATTCACTTTGTGTCAACTTAATCCTTATTCTTTTATTTGATGTCTCTTTCTTGTTTATATTTCTTTGTTTTAACTAATAAATTAATGTTTCTATCTATGACAATGCTGTTATGATAACTGTAAAAAGAATCAAACAGTTTGAATTTTATGCAATAACAACAAAAGCCTTGCCTTATTCACTATACATCTCATTTTATTTCCTTTGTTTGATTCTGAAAAACACAGCGTTACTCACAACACTTCATATTTTTCTTATTAAGCTAGGACATAGGGTTATTCTTTCCTTTCTTGCTATTGTAAATTGTAAGATATTTGAATATTAAAACACAAAACTTCAATATTAGTAATCACTACTCTTTATTCATCATACAAGATAACACTGTTAGGTTAATACAACTGAATCACTAATTGGTATAATTGATATATCACAATCTCTCCCTTTCTAAAGTGTATCATAGTTATAAAAATAACAACATATTAAAAACATGAAAAAAAATTACCAAAAATATATATAATTCTTGTATAAAACTAAAGATCTGTAAGGAATATTTAAGATCAACATACAGAACTTTAATGAATCCGTTAGTTGTTTTCTTCATTAATATAACAATATGTATACTTAATACTAATTAAACTAAGAACACAAATTAACTAACATTAAACTAACACAAACAACTGAGTCTTCTGCAGCTCTCAAGGAAGGCTCCCGCTTCCATCACCGATTCTTTGGTTGCTCTCTTGATTTACAGAAATAGCCTCGTCTCTTATTTTTTTTCTCATAGAGAAATCTGACAATTTGATCCACATGGCGTTTGCATGTAATACCATCGTCTGTTTCAACTAAAAATGTGATAGGTGACAATTGCTTTTTTATTCTCATGCTAAAATCATTTACCATTACTTCATCATTTATCTGAAAGTTGATACAACAAGATGATTCATTTCTTAAGAAGGATTGGCACCGCTTAAGTTCCACATCATTATTACATTTGGTTTCAGAAGGTCAAATTTTGTTTTAATTTCTCTTTTATACATAAGATAAGCTGGTGATCTTTCGGTAGTAGAATGCTCTATTCGCCTGTAGTCTATAAGAAAATTGTCCATAGCATACTCGACAGATAGCTCAGATTTCAACATCTTGCACATTTTATCTTTGAACGTACCAACAAATTTTCTGCCGCTCCATTTGTTGCTGAATGTTTTGGAGGTGTTACTGTATGCCTTATACCATTCCTTTTCAGAAAGTTTCTGAATAAACTACTTGTGAATTAGGGTTCTCCATCAGTAACCAAATGATCACACAATCCATGCCTGACAAATAAATTTTTGAAGGTTTGAATAACCTTCCAGGCTTTTGTATTATCTCTCATGTCAAAAACTTCTGGCCATTTGCTGTGGACATCTATGACAACTAAAAACATCCTATTTCGTAAAGGACCTAAGAAGTCAGCGTGTAGTCGAGACCAAGCTTTGCTTGGATAAGGCCACTGTGAATTCGCAATTTTGGTTGGATTCTTTTTATTTGCTACACAGGTCAGCAACTTCCAACATAATTTTCAATATCTAAATCCATGTTCGGCCACCAAAAATAAGATCTTGCCATTTGCTTTATCTTGGTTATACCAAGATGTGATATGTGTAAATGCTTTAGTAAGGTGAGTCGAAGAGATTCTGGTATAATCACTCTTATTCCCCACATGAGACATCCTTTATCCAGCAATAATTCTAGTTTCTTTGAAAAAAACTTCTTTTTAATATCAGATAAAGTCTTATTTTCAGTTAGCCACCCCACGGCTACCCAATTTATCACCTTGCTTAATATTTTATCTTTCACTGATTCAGTGACCACTTGTTTGTAATTCAATAGAGGCATCCCCTCTTCCACATAGTTAAGAGCTGTAAATTCTGAATCAAATGCCGGAGTGTGGTCATTTAAAGGTAATCTTGACAAGGCATGACAGTTACTGTTTCCTGAGGACCTTGCAACTTCTAAAATGTAAGTGAATCCTGAAAGATAATAAGCCCCTCTTTGCAATCTATTTTGAATTGTGACAGATAGATTTTTGTATTTTCCAAAAATGTATTTCAAAGGTTTATGGTCTGTTCTAAGAATTATGTGAGCTCCATAAACATACTGATAAAATTTCTTAAAGCCAAAAATAATGGCAGCAGATTCTTTATCTATGATTGCTCCCCATCCTCGTCGCCAAATGTTAGATATTTGAATATTAAAACACAAAACTTCAATATTAGTAATCACTACTCTTTATTCACCATACAAGATAACACTGTTAGGTTAATACAACCGAATCACTAATTGGTATAATCGATATATCACACATATGGTTATTCTTTCCTTTATTGCTATGTCTAAATAATAAAAATTCTATCACCAGAGTACAAACAAATCCTGTGAGCTTTTCCTTTTTACTTTATAAATTTACTTTGTAAACAAAAGCAAATTTGTTTATTAAATGTCTCATTCCAAATAGTCCAAGAGCTAATTCGAAATTTTGTGACTTACTTGAAGAAAACTTTTAGTATACATTTTTATAATGTTGGTCCTCAACATTCAATTTGCTTGAACCAAATAGGCAAAAATTGCATTATTTGAAGATGATTAGCTCCAAGGTAACGTGAAATTACACACCCTCCAAATACTAAAAAATATTGCCTACTGAAATTAGGAGGGGGCATCTCACTGACAGACAAAATTTAAAATCCACTTTTTTTCATTTGATAGAAAAAAGCTGCCATACATAAAATAATAGTTTATAACAATTATCTTAAAACAGTTTCCACATTTGCTACAATAAAATCTCGAAATGTTGATTTCTCATGTTTTACAAAGAAATTATTATTTAAAGACCATTTTTATTAGGGCTCAAATTGAAGCTGAATTATCATGAACAACTTTGAATGCACTACAAAGTTGTTTATGATTATTGTCTTTGTAGGAATAGCTGTGCTGATATAAGATCTTGAACGTTATTTTTCTTCCCTTTCTCAACTTTTCAGCTGTATGAGGAAACCTCCCAAGTTCAGCAGGCAACATTTTTTTTTCATTTGAGTGTGTGCAGTTTCATGTTGCCTTGGAACAAATTATCTTTAGTCACCTTTAGTTCCCCCTTTCAATGAGTAATTATTGGAGTCACAAAATTTCTACTTGACTCTTAGACTAAAATGGATCAGACATCTATTTTGAGCTCATTTTATGATTATACCAGCTGATTTACAAGTCATTGAAGAAGCGTGTCGATAATCTACACCAATAATTTAATTGTAATTATTGATGAAAATGTAATGTAATCCTTATTTAATATTATTCAATTTGTTTATATAAAATCTACCAAGGTGATGTACAGTTTCGTTTTGATTTATTATGTATAACAGTTGAATAATGTATATAAAACATATTAATATTTTGTGAATAAAATAATCTTTGATTGCAGGTCGAAGATGCGATAAGCCCCTTATGTACTCAGTTAAGTGAATTGGGCAAGGTTTACAGAACCTTGAGATCACTTAGAGCACTTGTGACAGCACCAGTTAGCGAAGTTGTTGCATCACCAGTTCTTGGTCAGGTCATCCCGTACAGCCTTATAATAACATTTCTTATATCAAGAGGTCCACCTGAGCTTCCATCTCCTCATCAGGTAATTGCTAATGCTATTTGCATTACATTTAAATTGAAAATACCCATTCTTTAATCCTTTAGATGTGCAAAGCCAATATAATGGCTCGGGCTAACCATGACACCAGTGTGCAATGTCAATATAGTGATATATAATATAGTGATATATCACTATATTGACATTGCACACTGGTATATATATATATATATATATATATATATGTATATTGGCTTCAGCTTTTTATCGTTTAGTTGCACAAAACCAATACTTCGGATTGTTACAGAGCTCTCTATCAGGTACCCATGAGTCATAGGTTGTTGCTGGAACCAGTAGACGTGAGATGTATTATTTAGTCGTGGCTATCCTTTAGGGTGCGGGGTCTGACCTCAAACTAGTGTCTGGGGGAGCAAAATATTTGTGAGGAAGAGCAACCATCGGGCGCGGTCGGCTTATACCTCTCCTCTCTCTCAGCTTTCTCTTAACCTTTTGCACTTGAGTCTTTCACTATGTTCTCTACTTTAATTTTACTTTTAACGCACCATTTTCTTTATTTCTTTTTTTTTTTATTAATTGCTTTTTTATTTTCAACTGTTTTCTTACTGCTATCTTAATAACTTAATAAATTTTAATGCTAAAATTTTAATAAATCGTTCATAAAAAAAAAGTTATCAAAAATAAATGAAGTTAATTGTATTGTCAACTTTACCTCCCATTTGTTTTTATTACTTTGTATATGATCTACATTTCCAGGTCCTACTTCAGCCTCAGGATCATAAAAGTTATTTCTCTAAACGTTAATCATTAATAAGGTAATAAAAATATGGTGCGGTCATTACAAAACACTTACCGCTAAACTATGAAGAGGAATTATTGTTGGGAAAAATTGGCTATTACGAAAAGTTTTTGAAGTGCATTACTAAGGCCAACTGAACTTATTTATTTATGATTTAGGTCAAATTTATCAATATAAAAACTCAGCAAGACCATCAAAATAACACAAATATCGACTCTAGGCAATAAAAACATTTAAACTCCTTCAGTCTATTTCAACCACATAACTCTGAACTCAATATATAAAGAGAGGTCTGAATGTTTCTGTCATCGGTTTATTTCAAAAAGTACTTAACATGGATGGAGCTGCACTTTTAAGAACATTTTTATGAATTTCGATCTTATTTATTGAAAAAAATAAAACAACGTTATTTAGACTAAAATGACACGAACCCTTTTATACATCAAATGTAGTTAGTTAAACTGCAATTTTTTTAAGTTTGCAAAGGGAAGATTTAGAAAGTTAGCTGTGATATAAGGTTATGAAATGTCACATAATTGATTTTTTCAATAAACTGACGATATATTTAATCTACAGGTAATAGTCTGTGGGCCAGACCCCCTTACCGTGCACCTCCCCCCCCCCCACATCCCTATAAATTGCATATCGTTGTGTTCCTTGTGACAATTTATTAAAAAAAAGCCAATGTTCCCACAAAAAAAAGTGAACGAACTGCCCCAAAATGGCGTCCAAACATGGCGGATTGACGACTTTGACTTTAGTTAGTTTTTTTGTTACTGAGAATCAGCATTTGCCTTAATTTCATTATAGTTGGTCTTTTATTAAAGCTGGATAGTCAGAGAATAATAAAACATGAAAAAATATTAAAAACTAATTGGCTTAGGCATTAAACAAAATCGGTAAAGTCAATTTTTTTACAAAAAAATTTTCAAGTTGAAAATCAAGCGTCATTTGTAATTAAACGGTCAACAATAATGCAAAACGTGCTGAAATAAAACATCTGGAGAATCATTTCTCTTTCTAAAACACTGATTACTTTTTAAAATATTTGAAGTAGTTCCGTATAAAATGTACTTAAGCGGCAGAAAAGCGCTACTGGCGTGGGTGCCTACAGGCCTCTACCACACCACTCAGTACTCATAAATGGCTTAGTTATAGTGCTATAATAACGTTTTTGTTATAGTTTATTGATTATATTAACGAACAAATATTAATACAATAATTTAATTGTAAAAAATTATTATTTTTAAAATTTATTATTTTTGTTTTTATTTTTCATTATTTTTTTTTTTAAATTTAACTTCATTTATTCTATACGGAGATCGCTTAAGAAAGCCTCTATTATAAAAATTATAATAATAAAATTTAATTCAAAAATACTTTGCAGAATATCTTGATTTTTTTATTTAATATTTGCAATTTAACATTTTGTTTTATATATTTACTGATTCTTAGAGGTAATTTAAATTGTATATACTTCCCCGGAAATGAGTCATATTAATATCTGTTTTATAAACTAAAATAATATATACCTAATCTGAACTGCTTTTAATGAATAGGTGATGGATTGTTTAGTAAAATTGTTATATCGATATTAAAAAAAACATTTTTATTTCCTTTATTTTATTCGAAAGTTGGACCATATCATAAAAAATAGGAACTTTTAATATTAAAGTGCATTATTCCCTCTGCACAAATGAAATATGGAAAGGGCGAAGCTGTAAGTTCTTCTATGTAACCGGAACTGATTGTTAGTATTTGGTCTCAAAATGAGGGAATACGCGAAATTGAACCCAATTCATATAATTTTCTAATACATTTGTAGCCTTTGTACGCACAGCATTTCAGGTTACTTCCTCCAGACCTGCTTGCCAATTGCTTAGAGCAAATCTTTCTTGCTGATAAAGTGTTCTTCACCATAATAAACCTGCTTAACATCATCCAAACCCATCAAGCATTTTTACCCTCTTTTAGCAGCATCTTGAAATATTCTGTTCATCTGTCTACTGTATATTCGTTTAGCCATATAATGGATACTGATCCTTGTTTTCTTTTCCGAAATTTTGGCACTGTCGTTCGCTTAATGTATTTTTCCAATGTTTGGGTTCAATTTCGCGTATTCCCTCATTTTGAGACCAAATACTAACAATCAGTTCCGGTTACATAGAAGAACTTACAGCTTCGCCCTTTCCATATTTCATTTGTGCAGAGGGAATAATGCACTTTAATATTAAAAGTTCCTATTTTTTATGATATGGTCCAACTTTCGAATAAAATAAAGGAAATAAAAATGTTTTTTTTAATATCGATATAACAATTTTACTAAACAATCCATCACCTATTCATTAAAAGCAGTTCAGATTAGGTATATATTATTTTAGTTTATAAAACAGATATTAATATGACTCATTTCCGGGGAAGTATATACAATTTAAATTACCTCTAAGAATCAGTAAATATATAAAACAAAATGTTAAATTGCAAATATTAAATAAAAAAATCAAGATATTCTGCAAAGTATTTTTGAATTAAATTTTATTATTATAATTTTTATAATAGAGGCTTTCTTAAGCGATCTCCGTATAGAATAAATGAAGTTAAATTTAAAAAAAAAATAATGAAAAATAAAAACAAAAATAATAAATTTTAAAAATAATAATTTTTTACAATTAAATTATTGTATTAATATTTGTTCGTTAATATAATCAATAAAATATAACAAAAACGTTATTATAGCACTATAACTAAGCCATTTATGAGTACTGAGTGGTGTGGTAGAGGCCTGTAGGCACCCACGCCAGTAGCGCTTTTCTGCCGCTTAAGTACATTTTATACGGAACTACTTCAAATATTTTAAAAAGTAATCAGTGTTTTAGAAAGAGAAATGTATTCTCCAGATGTTTTATTTCAGCACGTTTTGCATTATTGTTGACCGTTTAATTACAAACGACGCTTGATTTTCAACTTGAAAATTTTTTTGTAAAAAAATTGACTTTACCGATTTTGTTTAATGCCTAAGCCAATTAGTTTTTAATATTTTTTCATGTTTTATTATTCTCTGACTATCCAGCTTTAATAAAAGACCAACTATAATGAAATTAAGGCAAATGCTGATTCTCAGTAACAAAAAAACTAACTAAAGTCAAAGTCGTCAATCCGCCATGTTTGGACGCCATTTTGGGGCAGTTCGTTCACTTTTTTTTGTGGGAACATTGGCTTTTTTTTAATAAATTGTCACAAGGAACACAACGATATGCAATTTATAGGGATGTGGGGGGGGGAGGGTGCACGGTAAGGGGGTTTGGCCCACCGTGTATAAGTAAAGACTGTATTACACCGTTAACATTAAAGAGATTAAATCTTTATCACTTTTTAGATGTATTTAAACTCTGTTTTTTTTTTCATAGTAAAATTTAGCACAATAAAGCTTCGAGCTTTTCAATACAGCATCGATAGATCAAAAGTTGTCAGTGAAATTTCAGTGATCCAACCTCATACAGTCCACACCAATTTTCACAATCACCAGCGCAACACAATTCATTTACAGATCAATGGGTAATATTTGGCTCTCACCAAATTACCGTGATCGAACAAACACAATGTCAATACTCTCAATGACTTGACTAAAAAGTTGTGGTTATCAAAATCAGCGAAATATTTTATTCTTTCTTATTCATGATGCTTTATTTAATAGTTTTTCTTACAGGTGGTTAATATTATTCATTGTCAATACCAGTTAGTTGCTATATTGTATTTATTATATATAAACGGTGTACCAACATTGAGTTAAGGTTTTGAGTAATTGAATCATATTAATTAATTTAAATAACAAGAGGTCTTAAACTTTTGACCTGTAGTGTACCTAGATAATTGAAATAGATTGAACAAATAACTACAGGAACCAAATTTCAAGATGAAAATGCTTATAATTTCATTGAATTGCAGAGTGTTGACTGGACTATAGCTGCGTATTCAGAATGGCTCGACAATCACCCTGATGAAACTAGTCGACTCGAACTACTGAGTGGTGCCTTGCAGAAATATCGAAAAACCATTTGTGACCAAGGGCTGTCAACATTTGACGATATATATCCTGTGATCAAGTCACTTCTTGAAAATGCTACCCAGTTTCTCTCATCTAAAGCATAAATATGTTTTAACAACTTATCCATTATATTTAAAATGTAAATATTTTAATTATGCAGTTTTAGCAAATAAGATAAAATTATTTTTTGCTTTTTCATCATTTGTCATATTGTTTTTTATTGATCTTTGATAAATATGCGATGATTAAAGACACTCACTACAATGTATATTGATTAAATAAAAGGAAATGGTAGGATCATACATATATCTCAGAAACAATTTTAAAATACATTCTTAGCCCCAATGAATACCTAAATACCTGTATGTAAACTTTTTTCACTTTTTATAAGAACAATTTCAGAGTTAATTACCTTCCTAAAATTAGCCATTAAAAAAAAATAATTGAAATTTCACAATTTGATATTGCTCCACAGCTGGTTATTCTGACTTACCTACTTAATATGAATTATCTGAGGCACTTATATAAAAATATTCTTAATAATTAATAAAAAATAAAATTAAGGTTGGGGTATTGAATTTTACTTGAAAATGATGTAGAGATGGTTGACCGTTGATATAATATGAGAAAGAGTTAGTCAGGGGTGAGGTCAAATAAATAATAAATTAAAATATATTAATTATTTTAATTTTTGCCGACGTTTCGACCCACTTTGCAGGTCATCTTCAGGGCTACAAAAGATACAAAACATGTTGAAAATAAAAAATAAATATAAGTAGATATAAAATAAGAAGAAGTTGTCAGATACAGAAATAAAAGATGGTATCAGAGATATAGTGGGTTACAATGTAGTTAATTCTTAATGTATATTAAGTAGTTAATTATGTATATTAATATTAAATAAATTTATATTAATTATGTATATTAAGTAGTTAATTCTTAATATTTAACTACATTGTCACCCACTATATCTCTGATACCATCTTTTATTTCTGTATCTGACAACTTCTTCTTATTTTATATCTACTTATATTTATTTTTTATTTTCAACATGTTTTGTATCTTTTGTAGCCCTGAAGACGACCTGCAAAGCGGGTCGAAACGTTGGCAAAAATTAAAATAATTAATATTTTTTAATTTATTATTTATTTGACCTCACCCCTGACGACAAACTCTTTCTCATTTTACTTGAAAATATTGGCTAGTCATAAAACTAAGCATTTAGTGTAAGGATAAAAAGATAAACATGGAGCAAGTTAAGGTATATAATTCAAATATTAATTTATATTTACAAAATATAAATATGTTATGTACAGTATATACAGTTATATAATTACAATTTGATGTAAACTTATATAGAACTATTCCCAATAATTAATAGAAAATAAAATTAAGGTTGGGGTATTTCATTTTACTTGAAAATATTGGTGGCTTGTTGCAAAACTAAGAATTTAGTGTAAGGATAAAAAGATAAACTTGGAGCAAGTTAAGGTATATAATTGAAATATTAATTTATATTTACAAAATATAAATATGTTATGTACAATATATACAGTTATATAATTACAATTTGATGTAAACAATACATACATATCATTTATATACAATACTAATGATAGTATAATTCTTCAAGCTTTCTCTATTGGAACTTGTTTATGGGCGAAATAAAGAAAAGCAATGGAAGATAGAGCACTAACTAAAAAAATAACATCAAACCACCGATGATAAAAATTGAATTGTAAGTCTCCTAGAACTTGAGTAATTATCATCCGGTATTCAGGTGGCATATTCATCCTCATTAGTAAAACTGATGACACAAAATGCATCCCCTAAAACCAAAAATTTAACTGTAATATAATAATAGTTATGACTATTTTTATTGTTAAACTTATTGATACATCATTTGAGGAATCAGCCTCATTAAGGAGTAAAAAATGAAAAGGCAAGGTAAGCATAAAGAATAATTGAGCTTGTGTTTCAAGTAATTATAAGTCTTTCATTCAATACCGTATGGCCCTGATTTATCATGGCTCTCCTTGGATCGACCTTGTGCACAATCACTAGTGGTTAGTAAATGTTTCTTAGCAATCAGCATACATTAGGTAAATAAACTAAAGTTATATTGCTAACGTAGATACCTAAGAGTTTATTTATTTATTTTCTTTCTTACTATTTTTTTTTTTTTTTTTTTTTTTTTTACAAAAACTATGATTATGCTGTTTTCATTGTATTAACACACAATAGTTTTTATACGAGAATAGATATAAATTCACCTTTATCTGTCTCCTATTAGAATTTGAACAACAAAGTAAATCCTAATTTCTGAGATTTTCTAAATTTTTCACAAAAAGATACTCTCAGCATTCATATTTTGTAAGGTAATTGCAATGTGAAATTGCTAAAGATTCATTGAATTTCTTTTCTGCCAAACCAAATTAAAAAGCAGATTTCCTGAAGAGTAGAATTTGTGTTGATTTTTCTTAGTTTTATTTATCTAATTACTTCTATAATGACTATGCTAAAGTAACAGTTCGCTTAATAAGTAATTGAAATTTCGATTCTTCAATATTTAGAAATTTAAAACTCTAAACAACAAGTGATAAGTAGCCCATGGCACCTGGGATGGTGATACTAGAATAAGTATGAGTGGGTCTGTGCCGAAGGCAGCACTTTATTGTATTGTGCGTTATCTTGAAAGCGGTAAATTTCAGGGCATTAATAGGCAGAGCCTAGTATGTTGTTCTGTTACTTGTCAAAGTTTTAAATTATTTCGGGTCTTGTCAAAGTTTTAAAACCACTTGCATTTTTTAATAAATTTTACTTAAGTTGTAGTAAGGATTTAAAATTGAAATTGGAATAATGACACTGATTCAGCAAAACATGTAAAAACTGCCAAAAAATGAGAGAACTTATGTAAAATTGAGAGACAATCAGTTAAAACGGGTGTGATATAAATCATTTGTATAAGCCATCACAAATTAAAGAAAAGAGTTAAATAAAAAAATTACTTACCATAATTTGTGCGAGTATAAGAACAATGATATTGGAAGATTTACTGCTCGAGATGGCATAGAAGAACTAGAAAGAATAAATACGGTTTTTAATTGAAAAAAAAAAATTATTATGTACTTGTCTATCAAAATAAATGATCAAGTTTTTCAACAAATTATTGTAGTTCTATAAAACGGAATAGATCTGTATATTTTTAAATGTTAAGAATGTATATTTACTTTAGTGAGGGTAAGAAGTAGTCCTCTTATAGATGTGATGACAATGCAACCGACAAGGAAGAATGATATATGCTGTGACCAGAATGCAACATCAATATTCATGCCTAACCAATGTACAACTATTTCCATCCCTCGTGTGACAGGGTCTTTCTTTCCAACTCTATCAAACACTATATTCACCGTAGACTAGAATAAAACCATTACAAAAATTATTTTGTTTCTCAAATATAAAATCCAAAGAATAATCATTAAAATAATATAATATAATCATAAAATAATCACTTAGTTAATTATTAAAATAATCTACATCTTTTACTATTGTTTCCTCATAAATCATTCATAAAAACAAAACATAACATTTTAAAGGTTCTAAGAAAAAGTAGAAGTAAAAGTGTTTCCTTAAAACTGGGTAAGTAACCACTTGTTTTTATGGTGTCATATCACAAAAAATCTGGTGCACGCAACACACAACTTTCACTTACTGCTCTACTTTGAATAGAAATTATTTTCTGGCAATGCTGGGCTATTATAAAATTTTTGAAATGCATTTTAAACACAACTAAAGCTTAAAGCTTACAGATAACAAATCATTAAGACCATTAAAATTACAAAAATTTTATTTATTATATCCACAGTAGGCAATAAAACTCTAGTTACTCCATCTGTTTTTATAAACCATACAACTTCAGTCTCTGAGCCTTTCAGTTGACAGAATGACTAACTTCAATTTCAACATTTTTAAGTAATGTCATTTTAGTGATATTTCTAGTTGAAAAAGTTATCTATACAGACAGTGAGTAAGTTGATTCCAGAGTAGGTGATTGCAGTGTTTGAATATAGAACTGTGAATAAAGTTATAAATTTTGCCACTAGAAACTTTACTTTAATTAATAATAAAGAATGTTGAAATTAGAGTTATTCATTCTGTCAACCGAAAGGCTCTTATATGGCTTGAAAGATTTGACAGTATATCTGAATATTTAACCTATAAGTGATTATGGATTGTAGGACTATTAGTTATTAAACTGTTGTTTTCCATTGTAAAGTTTACTAAAACAAAATTACAAGATTTTCATGCCTGCCATGGATAGGTCAAAAGTTGCCACACTAATTGTAAGTGGATAATATTGGGATTTCACAAAGGGAAAATTCATCAAATTATTCACTAATTAAATTTTCTGTAAGGTTACTTGATGATTTTTTTGGAATAAGCGGCCGATAGATACCTAATTATTTAAATATAATATCTTATCTAGAGTTAATACTCTATAGTAAATATATTTGAGGTTATAAACATATCCATGAAATATTTTTATATTTCACTTTACATATAGTAAGGAAATTTCATTTAATTTCCTTGGAAACATGTGACTTATGTTAAATAATGTTAGTCTTCTGAAATTATTATTTATAATTTTTTCACCACTCTCCGTTATCTTCTACAAATTTCTATATTAGATATTGTTTTTTCTAAAATTCTCAGCTTTCCAAAGATATATTATACATATGGCTGCTGACTAGTAATTCCGGAGATTCATTTTTGAACTGGAGAAGCATTTTTATTTTTTTCAATAATCAAATTCTTTCAAAAGTTATATTTAGTATTTTTTTGTAATAATGAGAGAAACTATCTCACAATATTACGAAATTAATTATTTATACTCAGTTAATTATTTGAAATAAACCATATTAAAAGTACTTTAGAGGAAGACTTATATGAACATTGGGCATTTAAGCCCTGTAAAGTGACAAAAAATAACGAAAATAAAATGAAAGGGGATAAGACCTAAATAAAATACCACTTAATTATACAGTGATACACCGAGTTTAATCAAAATTGTTAGAACCGTTTTTGAGAAAATCGTAAAAATGTGTTTCACCATTAATATAAACTGGCACTTCCAGTTAGACAATTTTAAGGAAAAAGTTGTTACTACATCTAAGGCATATACCTATTTTAAGTACGTAATATCAGTTTCTTACGACTTCTGGTTTTTAAGCTAGACTGTTCAATTACACAGAGATCATTTTTCGGGACTTGGTTATTTGGAATCAGGGGACCTTAAAACGTGCATTTCCGTTGAAAACTCAGATTTAAACATCTTTACGATCGTAATACTTACCCTTACTATATATTCCATATATTGGTAAGTGAAAATAAAAAATTTTATACTTCTTTAGTTATTCAGAAATGTAATTTTACTATACCTTATAACTTGTTTTTCAGCTTATTTTCGTTGAAGTACATTATATAGATAAATTTAAAGGTCATCGAGGAGAAGATTTTAACCAAATTTCATTGAAATTGGTACATTTGTTTAGGCGCTACAGTCTATACAAACATAGGTTTTTCAGCCAGCATCTTGGAAGGAAAGGGCAGATAGTAATGCTAAGATAGACCTCTGACTTTGATTCCAAATTTGAAAAAAATCAGTCCAGTAGTCTCAGAGAATTACATCTGATTTATTGAAAGTAATAAACCAAAATGAATGAATATAACATAATCTGATCAGTTTATCAAAATATTTTCCTTGGTTTTAATAAAATCTTTTGGTGAACAAGTTTTTTATTTTTCTCTTTTAAAAGCTATATGTTCAAAAGAAAGAACTTTGTGGAAGAAATTTTTATGTCACATTAGTTTTAAATATTTTACATTTAGATAATAATCCAAGATTTTGAAAGAAATTCCTTCAAAGACAACACAACCTTGGAGGTTTTTTGTGGTCTGTCACTGAATAGAGAAATAATTATTGAGTTAAGAAGAAAATCCCATACTTGCATGTCAAAATTAAATTAATGCCGTAATAACTAATTTATTAATCCAAGAATTGTTATTTTATTCACATATATACCGCCAGTTTATTGCAAAAGGTCATAAAATAGATTTTTGATGGAGTTAAAATATTGAAGTACCTTTTTGTGAATTTTAACCTTATTTATTAATTCAATAACAATGAAATTGGATCAAAATCATTAACTACCTTTTATAAATTAAATATTTAAAAAGTTGCACTATGTTTTGATTTTACAGAGGGAAAACTTATCAAAATACTTAGTGATTTAATTTTATGAAATGTTACTTGACTTTTAGCAATAAACTGATGATATTTTGCTAATATATCATCCCCAAATCTAACATTTAGAGTGACGCGACTAAATTGAACAAAACCAAAATAACTTACAATAAATATTTTCCATAAACAATAGATGGAAAAAAAATATCCTAGACAATTGAAATATTTCCCCCTCCAAGTTTTAGCCCATTCTATTCTAGCCTGCATTTCTCTGGCTTCGTGAGCTTCTAAGAACAGTTGTCTGCTAAGTTCTTCAAGAGCACTTGATTCTTGCTTTAACTGCCACACATCTATTATCTGTTAAAGAATAAATTTATATTTATGCAAAATATAGTTTCAATAATTACATTTAAATACAAATAATATTATTTGTAATTAACAAACATTTGATTAGTCAGAACTAATGAATAAATCATAATATGAGGTCCGTGGATTCAGAATTAATTTAACTAATATCTTTTTAGAAACTTTTGCCAAATAAGCTGGGAAAATATTAAATAAAATAAAAAAGGATACTATCAGAATCTTTCCCTGATCTCAACATGTTCCAGATTCCTTGGGTTGCACCTAATGTAAATCCTGCTTTACTTCCTCTTTTAGATAATGCGATTCTTTTTTTCTTAGCTAGAATCATATCCATAGTTTGCATTAATCGCTTTTCTATATTTAGTACATCAGTAGGTGTAACATTTCTAAAAGGAGAAAAAAAAAGTCATAATTTCATTAGATAAATTAATCAAATCAGAAAATAAACTACAAACAAAAAACTGCACTGTAATATAAATCACTGCTTAAATCGATTTTTCACCTGACTTTATTTATCTTTTTTCTTTTATCTTAAAGTAATGTTGAACCAGAAGAAAAATGCAATAATATAAACTTAAAAATAATACTAATGCATTCACATTTTATAATTTAAAATTAAATAAATAAATCAGATATTTTCAGTCAATAATTCAAATATTATATTTTTATATAGGATGTCCATCCATATTTCTTCTACACGATTCTCACATATTTTCTGTTTTTTCTTTATTTATCAGGTTTTTCCCGTAAGTTATCACATAGCGTTTTTCACACAAAAAAAAGCTTTTCAAAGTTACAAATTAATGAATCATAAATTCAATTAATGAGCAAAACTGCCTGAAATGTAAACACGTTAAACTCTTATTGTAAAAATTCTGTTCTGAATTTTCTTAATCCAATAATATGATATATACAATAAGAGCTTATCAAGATATCTATTTGATTGCTAACTATTCTGTTGGGTGACATCAATGTGGTTTTATGTATCTTCTTACCTGGTAATATAGCGTTTCCAAGAACCAGTCCATGAGAATTGGCAAAATTGATGAGCCTTTGATCATTTTCTCAAAGGCTCTGGTAGTTGAATAATATGTAACTTCTTAGCCAACATGAACATTAATTCAGGTCTCGTAGAAATATTTTAATGTCCATGCAGAGGCTAGCACCCTAGGTCGCCGTAGAAGGAAGTAATTTTTTTTTTTAACCATTGAGAGAACAAACTTTATCAAACCCAACCTTATTACAGATCTACAGCATGAGAGGGACTATTATTAAACATTTCAGCTCAAAGACCTTGTCATTTTTTAAGAACAGTGATCACTAAGTCAGTCAGTCAATGAATGAGTGGTATCTTTCTTTTTTATATATATAAATTATAAGTATTGGATTAATACCTCATAAAATAAGCCATTGAAGTATATGGATAGTTTACTGCACCAAATCCTGAAAGGAGAGCCATTACAGTAACTCCAATCACACCAACTCTACTAATGGCTTGTTCAATTGAAAGAATTCCTTGTTTAGGACTCAGTAATGGAAAAGGATCTCCAATTTTCCAAAAAAAGTAAATAAAAATAAGCCATATTGCTACAGTTAGGGATCTAATCATTTTCACTGAAACTAAAAATAAAGTAACATTAATAAAGTACAGACTATTAAAGATTAAAAAAAAGGTTAAAATATATGAGCCATATATAAAAATATATGGATCATATATTAAAAAAATATATAATTTAAAAAAAATATATATATTAAAACATATATTAAAAATATATACATTAAAAAATCAATAATTATAAAATATGATAATTGCAGTAATAAAAAGAAATTTTACTCACCAAATCGGATATTAATAAGGATATAGTAACCGATATAAAATGGAATAGCAACAATGAGCATGAATAATATGAGGTAAAGTCCAACAATCCAATGAAAATATCTTGATCTAAAACATAAGAAAGCTTTTAAATTTAAAATTGTTTGTTATAATAAATCATTATGTTAAAAAAAAAAATCTGATGATAAACCTTTAAATATGACATATACAATTATTAACTATTGTTTTAAACATTAAGTTTCAGTGAAAAATAAAAATGTCATTAAATAACACCACATTTGCTACAAACTACAGCAAATCTTTGTTATAAAAGTAAAAAATCTGGTGAGCGCAACACACAACTTTCACTTACCGCTTACTTTGAATAGAAATTATTTTCTGGCAATGCTGGGCTATTATAAAATTTTTGAAGTGCATTTTAAATGGAGCTAAAGCTTAAAGCTTTCAGATAACAAATCATTAAGACCATTAAAATAAAAACAAAGTCTATTATATCCACAGAAAGCAATAAAACTCTAGTTACTCCGTCTGCTTTTATAAACCACACAACTTCAGCCTCTGAGCCTTTCAGTTGACAGAATGACTAACTCCAATTTCAACATTTTTGAGGAATGTCATTTTAGTGATACCTCTAGTTGAAAAAGTTATATCTATACAGACAGTAATTTGATTCCAGAGTAGATGATTGCAGTGTTGAAATATAGAACTGTGAATAAAGGTGGCCGATTTTAAGGAAAAAGTTGCTGTAACATCTAAGGCATATACCTATCTGAAATACGTAATATCAGTTTCGTAAAACTTTCTGTTTTTGAGCTAGACTGTTCACATACATACATACACACACACACAAACACAGACCATGGACTTGGTTATTTAGACTCAGGATAACTCAAAACATGTATTTCCATTGAAAACTCAGATTCAAAAATTTTCACAATCGCAATACTTACCCTTACTACATATTTCATATATAGGTACATGAAAGTAAAAAAATCAATAAATATAAACAATAATCAGGAGGCTCTGAAAAATCTGAGTATTCGACTAGTACTTAATATATTTTAAGGATTCAACCACTAGGGTCATTAATGTTCGAATAGTACTGTAGTGAGTTTCAAGCAGGGCTGGTTTGTTTCCATCATGTCTTATTCCCAACAGGTTGATTAATTTGGAAGAATACTAATAGTTTTAATGAAAAGCCAAACAAGTATAGGCTTTTAAAAGAAAGATTACGCTTTGGAATACTGAAATATTTCATTTTTTCAAGAGACATGCAATAAATGGAAATAGTTTTTACATAGTCGCTACAACCTGAGCATATCCAGTTCAATCATATTTCTTTAAGGACAGATTGGGCAGAATACAAATTGATGGGAGCAAGAGTAAGAGAAATACTTTATTCAAAGCAATACTGCCCTGCCCTACTACATACGATTGTTTTGTACAGAGCATACTTACAACGCCTTTTGGACATAGCACTTACTTTATTTTAGAATCATATACATAATTTTTTTTCATAGTTTCTTATCATATAAAATATAATAAATCTGATCTTATGGATTTAGTTTTGAATAGATTTCAATGGAATAAGTAGACAGTATAGATTGATAATGGTATCATATTTAATCAGCTGTGTTCATCCTCATTATTACTATTATCATAGAATCAGTATTCTAGCATTCTAGAACATTTCTTCTTTCCACAAATTCCTAAACTGATAACAACAGCTTTGTTTAAATGACTTCTTAATTGACAACTTTTAAACTTTATTTTCAACCTTTAATAATATGTTGATTGATAATCTTAATCTTTAAATATTCATATAATTATCAGAATATTTAATTTTAAGATGTAAAGTTACTAAATATGAATAATACATTTATGTTTATAGAAATATTAGAGGTACTACATACTGAAAAGCATACCAACCTGGAATCTAATATCCCAATTATTTCAAATATAATTAACTCAAACATGGTGCAAGACAATGAAAATGTTGTAGCAAATATTAACTGAATCAATCTATGATGAATCTCATAATCTTTGAAAAGTTGTTTAACAAAAAAAACCCAGCCCCCAGTAAAGAAAATAATCTGAAAGCAGGTAAAAAGATTAAAACAATATAACAATTTCTATTTTTATTTGAGAGATAAATTCTACAAATCTGACCTGGGAAACTAATATGATCAGAGAATCTTCCAGATACCCCATCGTTACTTTTGTCGACAACGAACCCCACCAATACTATACTGTGCTTCGAAACGTATAGCCACAGTTAATCCCAGCACTAAACATTTTGTTTAGTGGTCTGTAACCTTCTCCATAGTTAACCACCACGTTGGCACATCATTCCAATGAGCCATTCGAAATTACTTCTCGAACTTCTCAGGAATCCAAGGAGGTTTGAATTATAACAACTTTAACCTCTTTGGTGTGCCTAACGCAACACTGTTATAAAAACCTTCCCCACGTGTATGTCGATAAACATTACCACAACTTTAATAATTTGCCATGGCTCATAAAAAGCCTGGAAAAATGGGTAAAAGTGACCTTCGGAATGATGATGAAAACGAAGATTTTGGCTTAGAAGAAGAGGTTCCTAAGTGGTATAATCAGGTATTAGTTGTTTCAGAAAATATTGGTTTTTATAATTATTGCATGGTGATAATATAATTATTTGTAAAAAAATAGTTCAGTGATGAATCTGAAATCAATTGTGAACCTCCTGATGAAGATGAGTTAAATTCATTGAGATTAGAAGCTGAAAATGTTTTTGAGCAAGAAACAAAACATTTCATGACAAGTGAGTAAAACATGGCATGATAGATAAAGTATGTTGTTTTTATAAACATAGACTGGTTCATAAAATGATTTTTATTTTTAGAGCAAAGAAAAGGAAAGGCTGGACATGATACAAATTGGTTGAAAACTATGATTACCAAAGGAACAACAAAAGATAAAATTGCAGCTCATGTTATCAGCATCCAAAATGCTCCTATGTATAGCCTATCAGTCCTTCATGGACTTATTAGTATGGTAAAAGCATCAAAGAAACATGATTGTGCATCTGTAATGGGTAAGATATAGAATATATTTTAAATTTGTTAAGAAACTTTCACATATTAAATACAGTGAAATTTTAACTATTTGCTGCAAGAGTGTTCAGATTATGGAGGATGTTTTTGTAAACTACTTAAAATTAAAGATTAATATTCGATAAATTCATGGAAATTTACTAATGTATACACGCACATTATATACATTGAGTTTATATGTATAAAACATTAAAGAAACTGAGTCGTTTTTGTTTTAACTGTAAGAGCCCCTTCTCTTGTCACAGCATGTTGTTTGCAGTTTCATATTGAATAAATTGATTACTGATTGAGGCATATTGAATACTGAATTGAGGCACTGCATATTCATGGTTTACTAACATTCTAGTTTTATTTTATAAAAATGAGAAATTATTGGCAAGTATGATGGTGAGACACGTTTTTTAAGAGTATGAAGATGATCGATCATCTCCTTATTACTCACATTGCAAGAAGGAATCATTTTTGTCTCCATCATCTTTACATCTTTCTATTAATAAATTTATAATATGTAATTATATAGTCAGAGATCCATAGGCTTTGATATGAAGCCACTCATATATTTTCATGTTTAATTTTATTATTAATTTTTTTTTATATATATAATTTATATTTTAATTTTCAACTTTGTGTTGATTATTTTATGACAAATAAAAATGTAAATTTTTCTTTTTTCAAACTCTTAAATCTTGGAAAGTTCTTCACCCATTGCTTTGAAATTTTGACGTGTGGTTTAATATATCTAATATTATAAAATATAAGGTGTAGCTATACATATTTATTAAAAACGCACCATCAGTTGGATGTAAAAATAACACATGTGGTTCAAAATATTTTTGACCAAACATGGCAATGCATTGAAATTGCTCATTACCATTTAACATAGCGTCCATTTTGTGTGTATTAGAGCTGCCTTCCACCTCCTTCAAAAGATTTCACAACCCCTCCTAAGATATTTGATTGCTTGCTTCTTCTTAATAACAACTTGATTAAATATAGTCATAAAAATTGTAGTGGAAAAATAAACCTTACTCATGAAAGAAATCCTACGGTAAATGGCACAGCCTTATTCCAACATAATGTTAAAGAAAATAATTTATTAAAAAATAAAATAAACTGAAATAAATGAAAAATTGATTTCTAAAAGGAACATAAGTAGTGATAATTATTACTCAAGAGTTCAATATTTTTTAATAATTGTAAATCAAAGATTTTAAATGTATCATACTACTTCCAGAATACATTGGGGGAAAAATAAACAATGAATATAAAGAGCGTATAATAGTATTGACCAACATAGTCTTATCACTTCCTCAAATGATAATTTCAATTACTGCTATAATTATAAAAATTTTCGATTATTCAATAACAAAAAAAAGGGAAAGGGCCCTTTGCTGAAGAGAAAGTAGAAAATGTTTAATATTTTCTATAGTTTCTAAACTCTATAACTGCGACGAATCATCCTATTTTGATGATTTTTATTTTTTAGGGAATTCAGGAAGTTTTAAAATAAATATGGATATTATCAATAAAAAATTGTGTGCTTTTTTAATTATTGGCAAATAATTCAATACAATTTTGAATTCATCGTAACATTTTTCAGCTTGTTTTCGGTAAAGTATGTTGTACACATAAATTAAAAGGGTTTCAAGGGGAAGACTTTAGCCAAGTTTCGTTAAAGCCGTTTTGGCGCTACTATTTATAGCGACACATTTTTTGGCCTCCATTTCGAAAAAAAGGGCTGAATGGTATTAAAATGTTCAAAATACAATCATTAATTCAATTGCAATGCTGTTTCAAAATTTCAAAGCAATCGATGAAGACCTTTCGGAGACTAGCAGCTTTGAACAAAAAAAAATTTACATTTTTTTTTACGCATATAAAATTATCATAAGACAAAAGTACTGTGCCAGAAACCTTTACAGGAGTGTACTCAACAACTTCCCAAAGTTTCATAGTGATCGGATGAATGGTTTAGTAATGCACAAAGGACAAACAGACAGACATGCATTCATTTTTATATATATAGAAGATAAGAATTCCTTTAATACAATCAGCAATATGTTTTCTTATTTTACTCAAAAAAGTTAATCTATTGATGTATGGATTTCTATGTTATTAATCCATGCAGAGCAAAAGCCGTAAAACAGTATTCCAAAAAAATAATAAAATTTTATAAAAAAAAATTTTCTCGGTTCCTAGAACCCATTAGCAAGAACCCTCGGACATGGGCCTACTATTTTTTAACCTAGTATCACCAAAAAAAGTTTCATTGAAATTGGTGACCCCACGTCCCTAATCTCCCCTTGTTAGTGATGTCTGAGAGCTGATACTCTCGTTTCCTTGATTATGTAATAAAAGTTGATCCTTTTATCAAACTCGACTCTACCTTTAACCTACTTGTATGATTGCCAGAATCAACTTTCTAATTCATCATTTTACTCCTTCTCACATTTAAAATCTGATTTTTGCAGTGTAGGGTTTTCTATTACTCAACAAAGTTAGAGAGCTGATCCTTTTCATAATCAGTTTATTCATTCTATCTAAACCCATTAAAATCATACAGTGTTTAAGAGGAAAAATAGGGAGCCAGAGAAAGTTCTAAGCAAAATCAGAACAAGATTACAGCATAATGTTTATGTTTTAAAAGTGATTAAATTGGGGAAACAATCAACATTCTTATCTACCATTTCTATGAGCATGTTGTTATGTTTTTAGAACTTCAGGTTAATTCAGTTTTTGTTTTGTTTTTTTTTTCAGAAAATCTGTCTGATCTATTTCTCGAAGATTTATTGATACCTTCAAAAAAATTAAAAACATTCGACAAACAGCCTTTGACAAAATTGTCAGAAATTACTTCAGGTTGTGCTAGAGCTAGGAAATCTAGATTAGTTGCTTGGCTTTTTGAAGAAAAATTGAGGGAATGTTATTCTCAATTTATTAATGCAGTTGATGTTATTTCAAAAGATACCGTTGATGCAAACAGAATTAAGGCAGTATCTGTGATGAACAAGCTGTTAACTGGACATCCCGAACAAGAGCAGGTCAGATAATTAACTTTTACGAATTCCACAACTAATTTTGAATTTAAAAGATTTAATGTAATGTATAGATTGATTTTAGTATATGTAGTTTATTTTAATCTAAGTGAATTTGAAGAAATATCCTAAAATTTATCGTTACAAAAAGTTGCTGAGGATTACATTTGAAGAATTCACACACATTAAGGTCCAGCATCAGCCAAATTTCTATTTGTACTTTTTTTGAATAATGTGATTTTGGATTATACTCTTACTAGAGGATATATTGATGGCTATAAGTTTGTCCACTTTTTCAGTGTAAAGTAGTAGCTTAGAGATGTACTATTGTTACAAAAGTATTTAATGTTCTAATGTGAAGTTAAACTTTTTTCCTGTAATTTTAAATTTTAAAGTAGGTGAAAATAAATAAATAATAAATTTGTGTGAGTTCACCCGAAAACAAATAAAAAAAATTATTATTAAGTAAATTAAAGGACAATACCTAGAACTAATCTTAGAACAGTTAATAATTTACAAAGACTAGAACAAATTCTAAACATTAATACTTATCTTGGTGGTTAGTATAATTAGATTTACTACATTTTATCTTCTGCAAGAACATTCCGCTTTCAAACTTCTTTATCAAGTATTGAAAAAAAAGATGATTTGGATATTCAATGGAAATGTTAATAATGCAAAAAAAGAATAGTTGTTTTTTTTTTAAATTAACAACTGCATTACGATTTTTAAGAGAAAAAAATTACAGTGCTGATTAAAACACAATTTATTTATTATTGTGGATTAATGATTGATTGTAGTCAATGATTGAAGAGAAAATTAGTTGAAGTGTTCCGTAAAAATAAATAAATAATATTTATTTTTACATTTTTGTTTTTACTGAACACTCCAACCAATTTTCTCTTCAATTATTGTCTACAATTAACTATAATTATAAATAAATTGTGTTTTAATCAGTACTGTCTTTTTTTAATTGTAGCATTTTCATTCTGTATGTGCCATATGGTGAAAGAGTATTTTTCACTCCTGTATGGATCCTTTTTATTCCTTCTGTTTGTTTAAGATGTAATTATATTTATTTACAAAGTATTCGGTTTAAAAGACTGAAATTTTAATTTATCACAATCAACAAAATATTCTTTATAAAAAAAATTGAAATTAAAAGCAGGTGTTTTCAAATTCTTTATCAAGTATCAATTCATTAAATTGTATTAATAAATATGAATTACTCTATATAATCAATTAGTTATGTATTATAGATCTTTATTTTGTTTTTGTAATATTTATATTGGTTAGGTCATTTGAAATTATTACAATCCTGTTTCACTTCTGCAATTTTTAAGAAGGGAGGTTTCAAGTATTTAATTTGTTTTTTTTTTCATTCAAGGTCCTTCTAAAAAATCTGGTGAACAAACTTGGTGATCCTAATCAGAAAGTAGTTAGTAAAGTAGTATACAGTTTGACACAGTTGCTGCAAGTTCATCCTGTTATGAAACAAGTAGTTATGAATGAAGTTGAAAAATTCTTATTTCGGTAATATATATTATAAATTAATGAATTGCATTATACATTTTTAATTGACTAACTACCATTTAACTTTTCATATATGTATGGTTTTTTTTTTTTTTTTTTCAGCCCAAATATGAATACCAGAGCTCAATACTACAGCATTTGTTTTCTAACACAATTTGTTTTTCAAAGAAAAGATAGGGATGTTGCTAGAAACATCATCATGATTTATTTTTCTTTTTTCAAAGGTGCTATAAAGAAGGTAAAGTTTCATTTATCCTCCTACTTAAATCTCAGTGCATGATATAATATATTAAATTTTAATAACTTAGTTTTGGATTTAAATTTAATTGTGTTGAACCCTGATGACTGGATATCGTATAATTATTATTCCAAAAAGGTAAAAAAGAAACTGGAAACTGAAAAAGAACCCAATCCTACAATTCCTACCTCTCCTCATTATCTGCTAGTGATAACTCCCTCTGGAATGTAACCAAAAAAATCCTTAAATTCCAGTCCATTTCCCATCCACTTCGCCGTGATGATGGTTCCTGAGCTTCATCAGATGTGAATAGAGCAGAAGAGTTTGCTAAACATCTATTCTACACATCCCGAACTCCATCCCACCCACACTGCTGAAGTTGAAGAATTCCTCTCTTCACCAATTCCTCTCTCTCTACCTCCAAAACCTGTTAACCCCTCTGAGGTCAAATTCTTTATAAACAAATTAAAACCCCGAAAATTCCCTGGATATGATCTCCTCACTTCACAAATCCTCAGACAACTTCCCAAAAAAGCAATCATATTCCTTAATTACCTATACAACTGCATCCTTTGTACAACCAACTTTCCTTTGGTGCGGAAAAATTCCATAATCATCCTGTTTCCAAAACCAGGTAAACCTGTTAATAACACATCATCCTATAGACCGATAAGCTTACTCCCGATCCTCTCAAAAATCTTTGAGAAAATCCTTCTCAAACGCATACTACCCATAATCGAATCCCACAACATCCCTTCTCATCAGTTTGGATCCTGCTCAAGACATTCCACTCTCCAACAAGGCCTTCGTGTTGTGGACCTTATATCCTCTGCACTTGAAAACAAGCATTATTGCACTGGTGCCTTTCTCTGTGGCACGATGGCTTGCTTTTCAAGCTCAAAACCCATTTACCCCAATCCTTATACCTAGTCCTCAAATCCTACCTCTAAAATCGTTCCTTTCAAGTCCGTTGTGACCCCGAACTTACTATCCAGTTGAGGTTGGTGTTCCAAAAGGCAGTGTCTTGGGTCCAGTTCTCTACATCCTCTTCACTTCCGATATCCCTTTAAATCCCGATACATTTCTAGCTACATTTGCTGATGATACTGCCATTCTATCCTCCCACTCAGATCCTCAAATAGCATCTCTAAACCTTCAATCTCACCTCTCCTTGATTGAGCAGTGGTGCAACAACTGGTGCATCAAAATCAATGAATCAAAATGCAAACATATCACTTTCACCCTGCGACGCAGATCCTGTCCACCAATCCTTTTTAATTCAATTCCACTTCCCTACTTAGACACAGTCCATTACCTTGGCTTCCTTCTAGACAAAAGACTAACTTGGAACCCACATACCAGACTTAAAAGACAAGAACTTAACTGACGATATGGCCAGCTGTATAGATTACTAAGTAGGACATCTCATCTTTCGATTGAAAATAAACTTTTAATATACAAGACCATACTGAAACCTATCTGGATCTACAGACTTGAACTGTGGGGAACTGCTAAACATTCGAATATCAAACGCATCCAATCCTTCCAGTCCAAAGTATTTAGAACAATAGTCAATGCCCATATTATGTCACAAATAAGACCCTACACCATGACCTTAAAATCCCATTTGTCCTCGAAATCATCCCATCTAGATTCTCAAACTTTCACCAGAACCTTATCCATCATCCAAATTCTCTAGCTCAATCCCTATCCAGCTCCCTTCATCTCTACAATCCTCCACGAAGTTTAAAACAGCAGTGGCCCAGAGATCTCTTGTAAATATGCCTCTGGAGTCCTGGCAATGGCCAGGTTCTCCACTCATGTCCCGAGCGTCTGTGCCTCTAGTGCCCTCTTTCAGTCTCCACTGGCTTCTAATACTAGTGATGCGGCTGGAAAAGTGGCACTGGGATCTCCTGGAGTCTTGCTTTGCCTTCCACATAGGGGGGAAAAAGCCTGGCTCGGAGATTCCTGGGCGAATGTATATAAGTATGATTGTGTTTAGAAGTTTCTAGTTTATGTTATTGTTTACTTTTTTTTCTTTTATTTACTTTCTTCATCAGTATTATTTATTTACTTTTTATATTTATATTTATTTCTCTATTATTTGTATATATTGTTTGAATGAGAACTCTTAGCCCTAATACTTATAGCCCTCTAGCAGTGGCTGATTGTATTATTATTCAATAAATAGATTTTAAAAAAAAAAAATTGTGTTGGACAACTGAGTAACCTGCAAATAAAATGAGTTTAGGTAGTAAATTATTGGTTTTACTGAATGAGTGTATTAATGAGTAATATAAAATGGGAAGGAGTAAATCAGTGAATCTATTTTGATATAATGAAGAGTAAGACCCTTAGAGCACTCTAAAGACGGATACACATGAGTCATTCAGTAAGAACAGAGTATGGCACGAAAGCATCAGAAAAAAATTCAGGCATGATATCCCATTCATAATGGAAAATAGTTTAGTGTAACAATTCAAAGAAGCTGGATGCTATTTTAAGCCCAGGTGCACAATGAGACACAGTTAATGATGGCAGGGTAGCACAGTTTGAAATAGTTCAGATTGAGTGGTGGAAGAGGTTAGCATTGTGTTAAACAAGGCTAAGTGATACTTATGTATAATAATAACATTTATTAAATTATAGCTTAAGCTTTTATAGTTTTATTTTCTTCACAACCAGTTTTGGTCATCATCAGGCTAACTGATTTAAAATCTTTGGTGGCCCTGCTCATCTATTTGTCTACTGTGGCACAGAAATTATCAACAATTTAGTTTAATTAATGTTAATTTTTTTTTTCAGGGAGAAATTGATTCTCGGCTTATGGGAGCACTGTTGGTAGGAGTTAAAAGAGCATTCCCATATGCGAGTCTTGCTCCAGGTTCAATGAAGGAACATACAGATACTCTTTACAAACTTGTCCACTTATCTCCCTTTAATATTTCAATCCATGCCTTATGTCTATTACAAGAAATTTCTACTGATGCCGATGACAGGTGGGTTGATATTTATTGCTAGTTGTTATTTTTACTGTTTCATTATTAGGATAAATCAAGGTTTATGGTCTATTTCTAAGGAAAATGATTGATGTAAAAGTGAGTATTGCATACAATATTTTATACATGAGTATCGCATATGTAAATAAGACATTTTTTGTTATAAATTTAGAATAACCACCGCTTCTTCTATTGAATGCAAAATAGACAACTGTTCTGTATCTTCCTTTCAAATATTGTTTTATAAATTAGCTATAACTATAGTTGTAGTAAAAACTAGTTAATGATCTTGTTACAAAAAAAAAATTATTTTAACAATTACTATATCTACACAGCAACCTTTTGAAGTTATTAAAAATTACTAATTATTAATAGAGAACTGGAACTCAGAAAAAACTGTAGTACTGAAATAGTCTAAAAATATATTTTAAATAAACTAAAACTCATGGTTTTGGTTTGTTTCGCCATCTATTTTTGAAAAATTTTATATCCTTTCTGAATAAAAGTTTATTATGGCTTCAGAGTTTAAAAAGAAACTCATATGCATCTATTTTAATGTGATGTGTATAAAATGAGATAAAACTTCAAAAGTTTTTTATCGAAATACTTGCAGCTGAAATAAATCAACTACAAATATCTTTTTCAAATACATTTGCATCTGATATTACTTCAGTAATGAAATTGGAGATATCTGAATGTCAACTTAAAAAGCCTCTACACACTCTTTAAATTTGGATTGTTTATTTTTAACAAAAGATAATGTCTTATTGCACATAACTAAATCAATTTTTCATTTTGCAAATACCCATTAAGGGCACTTTCTTCATTTGATTCACCATTAAATTGCCAAATAGAGCCATCCCAGTTAAAAGTCTTCCTCTTATGAAGACAAACTGGAATATTGTAGCTTTCTTGTGCCCCTTGTTCTTAAACACAATCTCATTTCTTGGTTAACCAATCATAATAAAATAAAATTAATACAGTGATGCTCAGTATTTTGGAAATCCACTTGCTATTGATTTTACAGACATCTTTAAAGAATTTCTTCTTTTGACTTAGTGAATCCATTTTCTTTTGACTTTAAGATTCCATTTTTATTTTATGTACTTCCTTATTTGGCATATTTTCAAATATTTACTGCAAAATTAAATCTTTTGAAAGTATTTTGTAAAACAAAAAAAAAAAATTCCTCTCAATACTACTTAAATGATAAATTAATATTGTTCATAATTAAAAAAAAAAAAGATTCATATCATCAGCACCATATTAAACTAATGAATGTGAGAATGCCCAATGTTGCACATTTGTTACTTTAATATGGTGCCGACGATATATATGCAATTAAATTAATAAATGAACACTAAAAATTTATTACAAAAAGAAAAATTGAACCAAAAAAAAAAATCAACAATGAAGGTTTTTATTTTTGTCCATTACAAAGGTTCATTCTTGAAAACAACAAACCAAACCAAAGATACGTAAAAGTCCTATGGACTGTATTTTTACTAATAGTAGTCCAATTTTAATGATTTTTTTTTCACTTTGTAGGTAATGTAATTACCATAAATTTTATACTTTTTGAGTTATGCATAAACAAATTTTCTTCAAAATTATGGCTCAATCATTGGTTTTGATGAACTATTTAGATATGGTGTATAAAAAAAAAAAAAAAAGAAAGTCCCCACCATGGTGTAAAGGCAGCACAAAACCACGTTGCTTTGGGTCCAAAACTTGCCTATGCCCAATGCCACTAACATTGGTGATTTGTGTTGGTGTTAAACCAGGAGTTTCATTAGTTTAAAATATTAAGCTTTCAGAAGAATTATACCACTTAAAAATAATACTTATTTTTATTTTTTTTTATATATATTTATTTATTATTTTGTTTTATAGATTCTATAGTGCCCTTTATAAAAAGCTCTTAGATAAAGATTTGAATAAATCATGTCACCATGCAGTATTCATCAACCTTCTGGCAAAAGCTATCACCAGAGACACTAACATCAATAGAATTAAAGCCATCATTAAGCGTCTGTTGCAGGTAAGTCATTGTTTTGTTGTTGTTTACAATTTATTTAACTATTTGTTTTTAAATTCATTTTTAGAATCATTTATGGCTGCCATCTTGGTCTATAGCCAGCATCTTCTCAATTTTAATTGTTTGCCTCTCCATGGTGATCTATTAGTATTATAATGTATTGCAAATTTTGCTGGAGAATTCATAAAGATGAAAAATTGTGTATTTTCTCCCAAGACTCGATTTTTATTGACATGAAAAAGTAATGTATAAAAATGAGGTTAAGAGGATCTAGTGAAAAATTGAGCATGTTGGGCCCATTCGCTTTTTTTTTTTTTTTCTCTCCCCTTTCTTGCCTTTTAGGCTACATGGGGTTCTTGCCGTGCTAAAAGTCCCACCAGGATTTGAACTCATAATTCTTTGTCTATCTCAAACTTTGTTTATCAGGTCACCGGGCAATGCTCATGCTGTGCACATGTGTTGGTCTGCTCGGCCACCCTGCCTCTTGGGCCCATAATTTTTTTTTTTTTTTTCTGTTCTTCCCTACCTCGCCTTTTAGGCTATACGGGATTTTCCCGGACCAGAGGATGATGGCGGGGTGGTTAGGGTTAAAATCCCCTCTGGCACCGGGACGCGAACTTGTGACTTTGCATATCATAGAGACATATATCCGGTTGCAGTGCACACGTGTTAGCCCATTCGGCCACCCGCCCTCTAAAAATATTAGGCCCCGGCGAGATTCGAACTCTCGATCTCCTGTTTACTAGAAAGGCGCTTTAACCAACTAAGCCACGGCGCCTGATTAAAGGGTCCATAAGTATGGCGAGAGTCCTACAGTGCTCAGTTTGAAACATTATGGGTTTGATTCCCACCTGGGTCCATTAACATTTATTTCTCAGTGACCCCAAGAAATATATCTTTACACTCTCACTTTGGTTAGAACACATCAGCCATTAGGTTGCATAACTGTTAGGTGTTGGCAAAAAGAACCACATGGCCATTTGGCAGTCTAGTTTTCCCCACCAGAACCAGTACCGTATCTGTATACTGATATGGAACTGAGTATATCATATTCCTCTTTAGTTTTCGAGGATAAAATATTTCATTCTTCTGAATTTTTAAAATACTTTGACATCCATTATATAGATACCCCAATAAAATATCTAACACTGGATAACACCAAAAGTGGCTCTAGTAGAAATAATGTAAAACAAAACTTTTACTTCACTTTGTAATTCACTGATCATCTATCAAGTGTAGTGCATGCTTGGTGGTATGGAAATGATCTGCTGATTTTCTATAATTGCTTGTCATACTTAAAATATGCCAATTAATACTAATCCTAGGGTAACATCTATTCTTGTAACATCCATTCATTGCAAAGAGAAGCACCATATCTTTTAAACTAATAATATAATTCGTTGTTCATTAAAGTCCATTTTTATTAACTATTCTCACATCAAATGCCTATTTTTTTTATTGGTAAAAAAAAATATATATAATATAAAGTAAATTAAGTTTTGTGTTCTGTGATTACTTAAATACTTTTTCTAAATATGTATCTACAAACTTTTGTAACTATATTTTAGGTATGCCTTTATGTCCCTGCTCCATTAGCTTGTGGATTCCTGTATTTAGTTTCATATTTATTCTCTCAAAGGAGGTCTCTTCTTGAATTTCAAGCTGAGCCCAAAACTTGTTCAGTTATCAAAATTGAAGATTTAGATGATCAAGATGATGGTGATGAAAAATATTTTGATGCTGATAAGATTATAGAGGTAAATTTTGCATGTCTTTAATTAGTACTTTAATGGGAGGGTGAAGTGGATAAATGATAATTTTTTGAAACACTGTATTTTTGCCAATGATAAAGGGGCACAGTGATTTATTTTTAATATGCCTTCCTTTCATTTGCATAAATCTAATATTTGGTTCATAATCAAATTGATAAAGGTGCCTATGGGCGATACATATCTGCCTTATGGTGGACAAAGATTATTTAAATTCAGTTTTCTCAGAATTAAAATAAAAAGCGAATGTGATGCAATCTGACACTCAAGACAATACAAACCTATCAGTGGGATTAGTTGTTACACTTATGGCTCTCTAATGACCATGGATCTAGAGCCAACTTTTGGGGGAAGGTATGTTCATGCCAGATACAGACCTGATGAAGGTATATTCATGCCACTCGGTAAACATGCAACTGTATTCTAATCTGAGATACTGGCAATATCTCGCTATGCCTCAAAACTGTTGGTTGATGGGTCAGTAGGACATAAGATTTCTATTTTTCTGACAGGAGGCAATATTGGCACTCCAAAAAAGTATTCACTCTGGGCTGTTCTTTGACAGACCCTGTGCATGGAGAAGCAACATGCTGATTAACTTGAGCAAGAATTCTCTCAGCAAAATTACAGTGATCTATACAGATCATTGCAGATTTATTACACATGGTCGAACTTAGGCTAACAGAGCCATCTTTGTGTAGGTTCTGCAACCAAGTAGATGAAATTGCTTATCACATCACCTGTTGGTGAGACATGTTCGCAGGGACTAAATTATTGCTGTTTGGGAATGATAGATTACCTGAACTTAAGAACTGTGAACTTGTCAGTCATACAAGTATTTTACAGTTTGCTAATACTACCAAAATAATGTTTTAAAAGTAACAGTGAATAACTCTGGCGCACAGTAGGTCTGATATGGTTAAGGTGCATTATACCACTTTAAAAAAAACCATCACAATATGTGAAAATTTCACTAAAAAATTGATATGGAACCAAATTCATTCCTTTATGTTTAAAAATTATTGTTTAGCCTCCATTTGCTTTGTATTCACAAATCTTCTCTATCTTCAATAGTAAGGCAGCGAAAACATAATAAATCCATCTTGCCTCAACCCATCAAAGGTCTAATGTCTGATTCTTGGCCTCAGAATATTCTTCTGAGACAGTGGAATATGCTATAATACTTTATTTATTTATAAGGTGTATATGAATTGTATTATTCTTTACTATTAATTGTTTACCTATTTAGGTTAAAATTAAAGAAGAACCTGATACCGAAGAAAACCCTATTTCAGAAAAAGTCAGACCAGAAGAGCCCATATCAGAAGAAATAGAACTAGAAGTAAAAGAAGAGACTGATGATGATAATAAGGCTAGAGGTTGGGTTTATAAAGATCTGATGAAGAGTAAGGCTTCAAAGTTTTCTGTTTCTTATGACCCATTGGCGAGAAATCCAGCTTATGCAAATGCAGACAAATCAGCTTATTTCGAACTTTTGTACCTTTCAAACCATTTTCATCCCAGTGTCTCATTATTTGCAAAGAAAATTTTAGCCTGTAAGTTCCTGTCTTATAATAATATTATTTTATATACCTTCCACTATCAAATTATTCAATTTGAAATTCGATTCTATACTTTATTTTTTTTAACCTTGTTTGTTGAAAAATATTACATTCTATCTCAGATAAGGATAATAATAATATAATAGAGATCAGAAATCACATTAACATCATATTTATAGAAACATTAATAAATAAAAATTCCATGGTTAAATTTTGAAAAATATGTTATGTTTTCATGAATTGATGTTATGTTTTCTTTCAATTTATGAATTTTCAGTTTTGTATCTCAAATGTGTAAACTTGATTATGGTTAAAATGATTGTAGTATATGTATTTAAATGGGTTGAAAATATATCTGCCTGAATAAATGGCTAAATTTTTAGTTGACAGAAGTTAATTCAATATGACTAAAATTTTATCCAATTAAAACAGACTAAATAATCCAAATAAATCTTTATTTCTGAATTTTAAAATAAAATTTCTATTAGATAAAAAATTAGTCAGGTGAAAATTTATTTGAATATATATTTTAACAAATAAAAACTGAATTGCCAAAAGCTTCAAAGCACCAACATTGTCAGAAGACTCAGATTTGTGTTAGATAAGTATTTATTTTTAGATTTGAAAATATTAGTTTGTCCTATAAGTTCTTTCCCTTTTCTTTATTTGTTGTTTAAGATTGATTTATTGTTCAATATATGAACCGTTCTGTAAGAGTTTTTATCCTATGGTAAATTCCACATGTTTCGTTGGACATTAAACAGAAATTCTTACTGTTTGATTGTGACTTTCTACCTCATCCTCCATGCTCTCCAGACCTTGCCTCATCTGATAATTACTTGTTTCTTTCGTTAAAAATTTCACTCTGAGATAAATGTCAAAAATTCGAAAGCGAAATAAAAACTCATCTCAATGAATATTTTGTAATAAGTCTCAACAATTTTGAAAAAAGAATATAAGAGGCTTCCTAAGAGATGGAAGAAGGTAATATGGCAGAATGGTTCATATAAAACACAGTAAATCAACTTTAAACAACAAATTAAGAAAAGGGAAAGTACTTATGGGACAACCTAATATTAACGTTTTCTTTTAAGTAATAAAAGTTAAACTGTTAAATAATTGTTTAGTTTGGTTCAACTTCATTGTTTATGTTCCATTTAATAATAATAGTCTATAAAAAATGATGCATACATGTTTACTTTATTGTTACAATCAAAAAACCAATGTCTATTTCAATTTAATTTTTACTTATTCAAACACAATTATAATTAAAACTGTATGATTATAATTATATTTATAAAACACAATTATTATTCCTCATGAAAAAAGAAATATTCTTCCTTCATAACACTTTAAATTTTAAATGTAATAATTATAAATAATTAGCACTTTAATAGCCACGGGTGAAGAGGAAAATAAATCATTAATAACTGAACATTGAATTGGATTAGAGACATTAATGTACCAAAATAAAAGTTTTGTTTTATATCTACCAAATTTGTGGTCCTTAATTATTTAATGAAGTAATAGGAAAAAAAAATTAATTTCCAAATAGTCATATCTAGACTATGATTAAGAAATTAGTCATTAGTCACATTGTTTCTTCTACTAGTAATTTAGTCGTCAATTAGATGATTTTCACACAACTTTTCCATATATAACTAATGTTAGGATAATTTATGATATTAGATACACTATCTATATATATATCTTTATATATCTCATTGACTGTTCAAAGTATTATTTATAATCTCTATTTTTTATTTCAGCTGAGAGAATCGTTTATTCCGGGGATCCGTTAGCTGATTTTACCTTAGTGAGATTCCTTGATAGATTCTGTTTTAAAAATCCTAAGAAAATTTTCAGTGAAGAAGATAAAAATGGTCCAGACCGAGCCCTTGCCAACAGGAAATATTACAAACCATCTGGAGTGAAGTCTGTACATGTACTGAGCAGAGATTATTTACTTCAACATAAATCACTGATTCCTGTAGATGAATTATTTTTATTCAAGTAAGATTTTAAAACTTATTTCACCTGTTCTCATGTATGAATTATTGTATACAAGTAAAATCCTGCAATTTACTGGATCTGAAATGTCATAATTCTGTTAAAATACCTTTTTCATTCATTTTGATCCTTTTAATCATTGAATTTATTAAATCAACTTTGTTATTTATTTCATGAATGGACATTTCATGACTGATTATTACTAATTAGGTTATGATTAAAAGTTTACAAAAATAGAAGCTTTTAGTATTTCAAATACCTTATTCTATAATTTATTCTATATTTTCCATCTGTTTCTTGATAAATTTAGATTTACAGATCCAGATCATGGTTGTAACATCGAGTTCTGTGAACAGTAGACCTTGCGAATTCATATTTTTTTTTTCTCAATTTGATTGTTTAACCATCCTTTTCATTGTTTTATTTTATTTTTTAATTCAAATCCCTCCCTACCTTTAATAAACATTTGAGCGAACTTTGAAGAAAATGAAATTACGCTTTCCCGGTATAAGGTGGATGCTATGGTGAAGAGGGGAAGTGGAACTGGAGAGGAGAGGTCTTGGGAAGGTGGAACTTGAGTGGAGGATAGCTGCGCGCACTCCCTTCCCCTACACTCAAACCTAACTCAGATGCACAAACCACTATTGACTCAATGTTGCCAATACGACACATTAACACTCTGCCATCATTGTCTTGTTCTGTATCTGAGACTTTACTCAATACATGAGAGAATAATAGTAATAAATCAATTAATTTTTATGGATGATGAATATATGACTGCGTCCTGAATATTTATCATCCATGATATGTAGAACAGTCGACTAACTTCCTTCAATAATTCAATTAATTTTTAATGTTAATGGCTGATTTTTTATTTTTACTGATGAATCAATATCTTACCTCAGTCTTTATTACTTAGATAATAATAATAATAATAAAAGGCTTAGCGAACCCGAAGATTCGATGCCGACACCACCAATCGCTTATTACACACCTCCCTCCACCGTTCGCTGTCCAAACCCAGTCCCTTCAGATCGGCCTTAATGCAATCTTCCCACCTTCGCTTCGGTCTACCCCTCGGACGCTTACTATTCGGCACCGCACATATTAACCTTTTAGGAATTCTCTCGTTACTAAGCCCAACAACTTTACAAGCCCATTTGATTCGCCGCGATGAAATTACCTCAATTATATTACCCGGATACAGCTCACGCAATTCGGCGTTGTGTAACCGTCTGAACTCTCTGGTTAACTCATCCTTCTTCGGTCCGAATATTCTACGCAATACTTTATTCCCGTATTTAAAATATTGTCAAAGTGGTCCTTAAACTTATTCAATATGTCAACCGGATCGGTCAGAATATTGTTATTATCATCCCTAATTCCAGACGTTACGGGCCCTACATATTTACGTGATCTGTTTTTACCTTTATACATGTCTCTTACGTTATTTTCGATTCTATTAGTTTCTATTTCAATTATTTTATTTTTAAGATACTCCCTTTTTTTATTTTTGAGCAATTTTGTCGTTTCGTTCTTTGAGATTCGGAAGTATTCCAGATTGTCTTCGCTAGGATTATTTAGAGCTTTTAATTTAGCGGCTTTTCTTTTTTCGCACATGTTTAAGCAATCTTCATCAAACCACGGTTTGTTATTCTTATTTTCCTTTTTTCCTAGGCACGAATTACCGAATGCTTTAATATTATCCCTGATCTCTTCCCATAACTTGTCAATATCCTCGTGCTCCTCGTCAGGGAGCTCTAAAGCTTCAAACCTATTCTTAACATCTAGCTCGAATTGGTTTCTAATTGATGGATTTTTTAATTTTTTCAAATTAAAATTCTCAAAATTGAAATGGTTTTTATTACCTAGAGTTTTGTTAAACTGTTAGTCGTTTTGAACTAGAACATATTAGTTTTCTGTAAACTATAATGTTTTAAGGTTTAAATTAATCATCCATACAATAAAACAAATACAACTACAAAATCTCAAAAAAGATCAGTATTGATTTACTTGAGTTATACAAAGGTTTGGAGGAGCGGGGTAGCTCAGTGGTTGAGCACTGACTTCCAGAGCTCAAGGTCCTAGGTTCGAGTCCAGCTAATGACTAGTAATTTTTGAGTGATCCTCTTGGGACACATCCAACCTCTTTGAAGTAGGTACCCATAATTAAAAAAATAATTAAGGGGAAAAACCTGGCGGTTGAGTGTGATATCGGCTCCATCACCTCCCTGCACAACCGTTGACCTTGTAACAGTACTTCCTCACATTGTACTGCACCCAAGACCGTTCATGGGTTGTTAGTGGTACAGGTCATACAAAGTTTTGGAATTTGATTGCCACTAAGCAAGATTTTCTTTCAAAAATGTTTATCATGATTGAACTAACTGTCAATTTCTAAAAATTAGTTTAGGTATCCATGGAAATAAAAGATGAAAAAAAAAATGGCTTTTTTTTTTACTTTCTTTTGACTTAATGGTACTCTAAAACATTTAAATTACCTAAATGATATCTTAAAATAATTTTAAAGTCAGTTTAACTTAATGCACAAAACAGAAAAATAAATAAAATTGTTTTTGAAAAGATTTTGTTTTAACCTTCTGGATTTTTTTATTAATTTCTTTACAACCAAGTAAGGAAATCTTATTTGAGTTGTTGAAGAATAGATAGAGTGGAGCTATGCATTAATATTTTCATTTTTATAATTTTATTTTTTAAATTTTATGCTTTCTTATATTTTAGATATTTAAAAGATAAGCATGGCGACGGAAAGAACTTTGTGAAAAACGAAGATGATGACAATGATAGTGTTGCTAGTGAGGAATTTGAAGAGATGTTAGACGGTATGATGGGTGGAAAAAAGATGAAGCAACTCGACTTCATGGATGATATCGGTGATAAACTTAAAAAGAAAGGAACCGCTGGTATGTTTAAAAAAAAAAACCTTTATATTTCATAATCAATCTATGAAGTATTAAATTATACAAAACAATAATTAATATTTCAGTCCTCTTTATTTTGGCTGTTTTCAAATATTCAATATGTTATTTTGTTAACATCAAATTCTTTAAATCAGTTAAACAATCTTTTTTTATTGGATACTTGGATGGAAAAACAAACGTGTAAATTTGATCTCTAATAGAATTCAAGTGATAAAGACTGTATATAAGATTAGGATTTCACTTTTTAAATAATAAATAAGAGATCGTAATTAGCTAAAAACTTGAAATAACAATGCATGTTGAAGCTATAGCTCGAGTTCAACTTAATGTGACTTGTTTATGAATAAAAAAAATCAACCTGTAATGATCCAAATAAATGAACCAAAAATATTTCTTAGTTTAATTTTATGTTGAATTGTATTATTTGTAGAACTGGTGCAAGGTTTAGTAGTCTTTAATTTTTTTTCTTCTAAATTTTTAAAATCAACCTTTGTCTCTCGATGTATTGATGGATGTTAAATGCAAGTTACAAAAACATTTTTTTCCTCCCTTTAATTCACAAAGAATGATTTTTTATTGGTTTTGAAGAAATTATGTAGCAACATCTTTTTTGTTTTGTTATGTCGATTGTCAATCACTCAACCCAAATAATCATATGCCTAATATTTTTAATTTTGTTGTAAAAAAAAAAAGTTTTTTTTATAACTTAAAAAGATTAGTTGTATTCAAATCACTTAAACTTAGTTATTTTTATTTTGTTTACCTCCTTAATTATATTTATTTTAACTGATCACTGTTTATTGGTGCTTATTCTAGATAAAACTTCTGACTTAGGCTCAGAAGCAGATTCAGAAGAGGACGTTGGTGATGATGATGATGATGATGGTGATGAAGAATATGATGACGATGGAGAAGAACAAGAAGAAGATATGGAAGGCGTACCAGATGGAATGGATGGGGAAGAATTTGATTTTGATAAAGATGTAGCAGATGCTTTAGATTTCAGTGATGATGCTGATGGAGAAGACATTGATATTGATCAGGAGTTCTTCAATAAAACATCTAGTTCTAAAAAATCTCATGATAAAAAGGTATGGCACATTTAATATCATTTTATTAAATTTAAACATGCTGCAAATAATCCACTATATAAAAAAATGCTGAACATTTTAAATAATTTATATATACTTGAATACCTGAAAAATAGTAGGGGATGCTTTTCTCTGTCTTCATCTATGTTTTTTTCTGATGATGGTTGCAGAATTAACAGTCAATAAATGATTGTATAAGTTCTATCGTTTAATTATCTTTTGGCATACTTTTAGGTCCTCTTTAAGTCACAAAATTAGATTGAGATCTGGGTTATAAGGAGGGGTTGTTTTGTGTTTTTTGTTTAGTTATATTTGAGATAGCCTTTAATTTGGTGTTTGGTTTTTATTATTTTTTTCTTAATGTTTTTATATATACATTTATTACTTTAATAGTCTAAGGACCACTGACTGCACTCTTCATGAAATGTTTAGATAATTACATACATATTTTAGGGAAAATTGAAGAAGAAAGTAAAAGGCTTGAAATTAAAAGGAGGTCTTGAAGATCTCTTTGCTCCTGCTGAAGAATTTTCTGAAATCCTGGAGGAAGCTGGTGCTTCTAAGGAGAAGCCTGGAATGGCCCAGTCTCTGTCAACTGCTGATAATGCTGGTAAAGATATTATTCTCTACTTTTTAGATTATACTTTTCTCCTTCTATTTATGTTTATGAAGGAACTAATTGTTTTCAGTTAATCATAACCAAGAAATAAATATTATATGTTCAATGTTCGTTATTGACGAATAACTTAAATAATTTATACCCCACATTCCACTTTGCAATGTGTAGTATATAGAATTACTGACATATGTACACATAGTAATGACTATAAACTAACACATGTACTGATTGAACTTGGTAATAGAAAAGAATATCTTAAAAAACAGACTTATGTGTATGACTTATGATTTGGTAGGCGACAATCTGAATCAACTAGAAGTATCATTCTGAAAATTGAAAAAGTGGACCAAGACAGACTTTCTTAGATTTATTAGAACCAATGACTTAGATTTACTGATAAGCAATGAGCAGCGTATAATTAGAACCAATGACTTAGATTTACTGATAAGCAATGAGCAGCGTATAATTTTTTGTTGGCTTTATTTGGTTGATTTTTTGTTTATTTTATATATTTTTTCCTATATTACTCTTTGTTTCTAATTTTAACTCAAATTTTATTAAAACTTTTATTTATTATATGTAAAATTCTTTTTACATCAAATTCTATTTAATTTAGTATACCTTTAAGGCCTGAATTATGAAAGTAAATATCTTAAATGTTCCTCACATGGTGTTATTACACAAGGGGGAAAAAACAAATAGTTTTTCTGAGCTGTTTGGCATGACCTACACCCCCAAATTTTCAAAATAACAAGGTTATATAGCACAAATGGCCCGATATTTTTATAGGCCAACTTTTTTATCAATTTTGTGATCAAATTATGTTACTATCCTAGTAAAAGAAAATGGATATTTACGAGTTTTTAGTACCTAATTAAATAGAAAAAGTTTGTCCCCCTCCAGATTGAAAACACACCAATTCCAAGAGTTTCCGTAAATAAAATAGTTGTAGGTTACGATGAGATGAAACTATTTACGAAGTTTTAGGCGGATATTAATAATTTGATAAAAAGAGGTCTGTACCACGGACTATAAGTAATTCTAATCTCTATTTCCCACCAATATTAACTTATTATAGTTGTATAGTTAGTTATCAAGTATCCTCATGGTTAGAGGAGTTTTGTTTCTTTAATTGCTTTGTATGCAGTCTTAAATGCCTGAGCTTTTGGTCCCAGCCTAGCTTCAATTGTTGTCACTCCTTACTCCATCTGCAGTGTCCATTTATCTGTCTGTATTTATCTAGCAATTTAATCTGTTGAATTATTCCCTTTATTATTAATAAAGGAAATATTAAGTTTTTAATATATATTTTTTTATTTTTAACTAAATTTATGTTGCTTTTTCTGTCAACTTGGTAATATGATTAAAAGTATAAATTTATTTATCCAAGAACTTCAACCTTTTGTAATTCTTACTATAAATGACTTAATTGACGATATAGGGATTTAAATATACCATTCAGATGCTCCTACGCTGAGCATGAAAATCAAAGATAATATTGCTTTTATTTTGTCTACCTAAATCTTTAAATTGTACATTCATTGGTGCTGATAGTTTATTTATATTTTAAACTCCCTAAAGATGTTGTGTTCACTTTAGTTGATTTATTTTTAACAAAATAAAGAGCCTTTTTAATGATATAATTTTTATTATTCCAGCTCCAAAACAAATTGCTTGGGAAACCAAAAGAGACAGATGGGTGAGAAATGTTGGTGACAAAAAAAGAAAATTTAAGAACAATAAGAAATATTTTAAAGGTGCAAAGAAGAGAAGAATAAACAATTAATACAAATATTTTAAACTAACTATTTGTAAATTTGTAAATATGTTATTAATATACATTTTTAATTATTTGTTTATTTTTGTTTTCCTCTGTAAATTAAAACACATTTTTTAACCCGTTCTACTCAATGCTCTAAATGTTGAATCTATTACAGTATTTATTGAAGTATTCTGCTCTTAGTGGTAAATATCAGTAATTATTTTTAAATTATTCCATTCTATGTTACAAATGGTTAAGTGGTTGGTTTAATGATCAATTAAATGTTATCCACATTAGCTTATATATGATTAGGCATATTTAACAAATGAGAGATTTGAAATAGTTTAATTTTATATATTACTTGGGTCTCTGTTGTGCAGTAGTTCCAGTTAATAATAACTACGTCATGCCAATTATAGTTATAGTCTTGAGGATGGTTATCAATAATTTTCAAAATAGATAAAGTAACTGATCAATAGAGTGCATGCAAGGCTATAAGGTTCTATTACTGGTACTGGTACTTGTAAAAGGTGGGAACGAACCCTGCAAGTGGGTCTGCTGGTCCTTTTTGCCAACTCCAAAAAGGTTCTATTAAGAAAATTAAATTCTTTTAGTGTTTGTTAAATATCAAACTAGTGACAGGTAAATAAGAGGCACACAATTATCTAGACATTTAAGAGTTTATTATTTGTGATTTAGTATTAATTACAAATAGAAGAATTAAATAAAAATTTGGATAATTTTAATTTTGAGATCCTTAACGACATTTAATTACTCTCAAAACGGCAATAGTTTCTAACAAAATAAACAATTCTGCAAAATTGAAGAACCAACATTAGATTAGTTAAAAAAGAATTTGATGTAAGCAAAGCTTAAGTATGTTAAACTTTTTGAATGTACCAACAGCATCTTATAATTTAGCTTCTGGAGAATTAAGGGGGAAAAATGGCTCTCTATATGGTAAGTTGTATTGATTCTTCATATAAGTAAAAATTAATAAGGCTTAAAATTATAAAAGCCTTAGAGATTCCAAAGATTTGGTTCCTTTCATGATTCATTCATCCTCGCCCTGATGTACAAAAATAATTTTTTTTGTGTGTGTTTAGGAAACGCACCACCTGGGTGGTCTTATAACTAATTTTAAGTCATCATAGCAAGGTGAGGAAAACTCAGTCGCAAAAGAGGACCCAGGAAGGTGTATTTCCAAATCTGATGCCAAAATGTTATATATTTTGATAGGATCTTTTACCATATTGGAAACATAAAAAGAATAATTTAAATATCTGGGTAAATTAATTAAATTATCTGCTAAAGAATTGATTACAAGTAAAACATCAATGCCCTAAGATGGCCCAGCTGGTGCTTTCCTGAAATTGATTCAAAAACTAATTTAGGATGAGTCAATTTCCTGTATTTTAAATGCGATGAATAGTTTTAAACTTATTGAAACATATAAAAATACTTTTATTTAAATATTTGGTTAAATTGTGGATAAGAACTGAATTGCAATTCAATTAAAAAAAAAAAAAAAAAAATGCAACACCTGTGTCATCATACAAAATTGATTCTTACTTGTAATTATAAGTCAGATATTTAAATCTTTCTGATTATTGTATTTTTAAGTGGTTCCAAAAAGTTTAAATCGATTGGATCGTGTTTGGAATATAGTAGAAGATTCTATCAAAATTTATAATATCTTTACATCTGATTTCGAAACGCACCTTCCTGGGTTGCCTTATGTGATTGATATTTACTCACTTTCCCATGCTGAATGTTTTAGAAATAATTCCAGCCTTTACCTGATGAATGAATGGATCTCAAGCATTCTACACATTTGAGTATTGCAGTTTTGAAAACGTACTAGAATTTCTAGTAATTTTTTGTTCAGTATTTATCTGCATACTAAATCTTTCAAATAATTCTATTTTTAACAGTTCCCAATATATTTAAATCGATTATACAACAGTTAAGTGGACTGAATATTTAAAAAAAAATCTCAGCCGTTTTCCGGTCGGTTGAATTTAACTCAAAAATTTAACATGTTTGAACTTATAAATTTCCGTTATGGCTTATAACTTTTGTGAAATTTACAGGTGTGTTAAGCACAAATTCACCCAAAATGCACCCAGCCTGGATAGTTAGACTTGATGAATGTAGTCCCCGATAAAGACTATCAGTAGCTTTGCGTTTGTCCGTTGAATAACTGCGTCATTGGGGCCTAGTTTATAAGTCTGAAGATAATTTTGGAAGCCATTTATTCAATCTTTATAACATTATTATTTTTTAAAAAAATCTGTCGACGAGTAATTTACTACTAACGGATCCAAGATTTAATTTTGGGGCCTTCAGCCCGAAAGCTTTTTTTTAAATATATATGGCGATTGTTACTTTGGAAGAGGAAAAAACTAACTAAATTTATGAAATGGTGTTTAAGTAATTCTTAAAGTCCTATTAAATGTAATTATACGAACAATAATACGATTAGAGATATTTTTTTAATGTTTGTTTCATAAGATAACGTTATATTTCACCATTTGGGAGAGGGGAGGAAGGCTTCAGCCCGAAAACACCCTCTCGTAGATCCGTCTGTGTACTATGCACTATGTACTCCTGACCACCTACCTTCGACCTGCAGAAACTTTTCTAAAACTGTGAATTTGGTTTCCAAAATTGTCATTACGTGACTAGTAACGTCTGTTTTAATTAATAATACTAGGCCACCTTCTGAGTCAAATAATTTTGAATTATTTTTTTCAATAATTTTTTGTAACAGTTGAATTTTGTATGAAAACATAGGTCCTGATTAATGTAGCATATATTCTCTTCTTTGTAATAAATAAACTCGTCAGGAATAATAAAGATGATTTATAAAGCGTATGAGAATAATTAATTTTAGTCTATTAATAAAGCAATTGAATTAGAGTCATCTATCTATCTATCTATCTCTCTCTCTCTCTATATATATATATATATAAATGAATTTATGTTTGTTTGTTTGTCCTTTTTACATAATAAACCATTCATCCAAAAGCCATGAAACTTTGAGAAGTTGTTGTGTACACTCCCGCGAAGGTTTCTGGCATAGTACTTCTGCCTTACGATAATTTTATATGTGTAAAAAGAATAAAAATGTAAATGTTTTTTTGTTCAAAGCCGCTATTCTCCGAAAGTTCTTCACCGATTGCTTTGAAATTTTGACACAGCTTTGCAATCGAATTCGGGAGTATTTTTGAACATTTTATTACCATCCGGCCTTTCGTTTCGATATGGCTGCCGAAAAACGCGTCGCTTTAAACTATAGCGCCAAAACGGCTTAAACGATTTTGACAAAACTTGGCTAGAGTCTTCCCCTTGAAACCCTTTTAATTTATGTGTTTAATATACTTACGTGAAAACAAGTTGAAATATGTTACGATGATTCCAATTTTAATTGCCGATAACTAAAAAAGTACACGATTTTTGATTGGTAATACCCATATTCATTTGAAAACGTCCTGAATTTCCTACAAAATTAAAAAAGTAATATCATCGAAATCGGACCATTCGTTACAGAGTTATATAGTTTTAAACATTTTCTAATTTCTCTTCAGCAAAGCCCATTTCTCTCCTTTTTTTTTGTTATTGAATAATCGAAAATTTTTAATTACTGCAGTAATTGAAATTATCATTTGAGGAAGTGATATGATTCTCCTTATGTTGGACAATACTATTACACGCTCTTTATATTCATTTTTTATTTTTCAACTAATGTATTCTGGAAGTAGTATGATACATTTCAAATATTTGATTCGCTATTATTAAAAAAATTTTCATTGATTTCAGTTTAGTTTATTTTATAATAAATTATTTTCTTTAACATTACGTTGGAATAAGGTTGTGGCGTTTAACGTAGAGTTTCTTTCATGAGTAAGGTTTATTTTGCCACTACAATTTTTACAACTCTATATTTGATCAAGTTGTTATTAAGAAGAAGCAAACAATCAAATATCTCAGGAGCGGTATGCGAAATCTTTTGAAGAAGGTGGAAGGCAGCTCACACGAAATGAACGCTATGATAAATGGTACAGCGCAATTTCCATGCATTGCCATGATTGATATTTGAAAATCTTTAACATTGAAACAGCACCGTAAAATATTTTGAACAGCATGTGTTGCTTTTACATCCGACTGATGGTGCGTTTTTAATAAATATGTACAGTTTCACCTTATATTTTATAATAGGAGATATATTAAACCACGCGCGTATTTAAGTTCAACACCAAGCCAAAATTTCAAGGCAATGGGTGAAGAACTTCCCGAGATTTAAAAGTTTGAGCAACAAATATTTACATTTTTATTTGCCAAAAATGATAAACACAAAGTTGAACATTGAACAATACATTAAATATAAAAAATAAACGTGAAAATATATGAGTGGCTTCATATCAAAGACGGATCTCTGTCATGTATAAATTGTATACTATGCTCATACATATTGTTAATACTATATAATTGTATATTAGTTTTAGAAAATTGTCCGTAGCGATTAATAAGTATGCTCTGTTTGAAGCAACCCAATGTAATTGGGCAGCACCCTTTTATGATAACAAAGTGATTCTCTCTCGCGGAGATAAATTCAATTTTAGTTTTATGAAGGCGATTTATGAAGGCGACATTCACTCTGATGATTAAGAATGTCCAAGTTGAATCATGAAAAAAAATTATTAGAATTAGTTTAAATTGAAGCCATATTATAGACAAATTTGTTTCCCAACTTTTTAAAAATGACAGATGTTCTTTGGTATTAATCCACTCATATGTGCTTTATATTTTCTTTCTTTTCCATTTTGTCAGACTAAGCCACTGCAGCGCGTGGCCGGGTAAAGCTAATATCGAATAAAGGAAAACTTGAATAATACTTAACTAATATAAAGCAGCTTAACAGATAAATTAAATGTTTTGGGAAAGATGACGTCGTTAAACGGAGGGAGAGTCAAATGTCTACTAGCAGTGCTGCGTATACAAATTATAGTGCTACAGAGTCTAGGTGTGCCCTGGATGGATCTTGCAACTATTGAATCGATTCACAGCTTGATATAACTGAATAAACAATCTGACACAACTGAACTTGAACTCAGATTCCAGACTTAGGTATCTAGTGCCTTACTCATTGAGGTGCATTACTTACCACCCTTAAGCGAAACCTCTGGAAGAAGAAAAGGGAAGGAGGAGGGGGTCTTCCGTCCCATCTTAACTTGAAATAAATAAGAACTTTGAGTCCAGTTAAAATAGGAAAATTTTACGTTTATGTATTAATACATACTTAAGAGATCACAATTTCACTTTTTAGCATTAATATATTGTTGATGAAAAATTGCAAACAGCAATGACTCCTCTGCTATAAGGCTGTCACACAATGTGAGAAACAAATTCGATCCTGAATACTGATGGGCGTTGCGATAATGTCTTTACTATTCTCCCCGTAGGGTGCCATCCGGAGACCCGGGCTTCGCATTTCTGGGCCAAGGATGAACCCAGAGCTAGTATAAAACCTCTTGGATGGACATCACACAGCCACAGTTCAGTTCTTACATTTCAAAAGACACCAGGGCGATGAAGGTACTTGTCAATAACTATTACGTTACAGAGGATTGGTTAACTTTTATTATTGGAACTTATTGATTAAATATTTTATTAATAGTATAAAATGTTGATTTAGAAGTCATATAAAAGGTATCGTAGAATAAATACAAAAGGTTGTGTGGTTGGATATTCTACGTTTAAATTATAAATATAATATTTAAAATACTTTTTTTATGTATGTTATTGAAGCGTTTTAAAGAACACGATATTTTCCAATAAGAAGAGAGATAAAACCTTCGTGCCTTTTTAAGATCTCTTTTACTTCAATTAGTTAAATATATTTTAATGTTTATAATATCAGTAATTTGTAGATCTCTAATGAATTAAATACAAACTTATATTATTTTAAATTTAAACTATATAAATTTATCAGATGCAAAATGAATGAGAGTTAAGAATATTTACGTACAAAAGTAATGAAACATAATAAAAAAATATTAAACGGAATTGACTACTCAAAGATCACAAATTAGTATTCTAATTCCTACTTCAGTTTATAATATTCCTACTCCAGTTAAAGACTAAATAATTAAATCGATGAATGTATTTTATTTTCACCGATGAACTAAAATTCATTAAATTTTTTATTTTGTTGATATTGCAGAGCATAATTTTAGCGGTTCTCCTGGTGGGATGTGCCTTGGCCGAAGATGCACCCTACCCTCCTTCAGGAACAAGGCCTCAAGGGGCTCTATTGGTACTACCAACGGAATTAGGATCTGCCAGTGAAAACAGACCTGCTCCTCAATATGCCGCACCTCAGTATTTAGCACCACAAACAAAATCTGTAAATTTCACTATACTTTTTAGTTTAATTTAATATTTTACTAAATTAAAGGTTTGTCTTTGTAATGATAATTATTACTGTAGCAGGAAACTGAGAACTTGCAGAAGGCCAGTGAAAATGCGTTAGAAAAGCTTCGTCAGGCTCAAGGCGCAGATAGTGGCAGTTACTACGTTTACCTGGCAGACGGTCGGTTACAACGTGTTCAATACATAACCGCACCTCTTCGTCAGTCTCCTCCTCAGAGCAACAACCAGCAAGTCAATTTACAGAACACCCAAACCTTCCAAAACACACAGGCTCTACAATTCAACCAACAGAATGCTCAAGCTAACGCCAAACTACAAAACGTTGGCCAAGACCAGAGCCAAAGCCAAGCACAGGGACAATATAGTTACCCCCAGCCGGCATTCAATAGCCAATATCAGCAAGCAGCCAGTGGACAATACAAACAACAACTTACTGGCAGCCAATACCAACAACAGGCATCCTTCAACCAGCTCAAGCAGCAACCGTCCGGAAATCAATTCAACGAGGAAGCTGCCAGTACTCAGTACAGCCAGCAGGTTCCAAGTGGTTCCTACAGGCAGCAGCAACAAAAACCTGAAAAACTCAAACAACAGCCCAGTGCTGCCCAACAAGCCCAGTACCCCCAGGGATTTGGCCAGCCTTTAGGCAGCAACCAATATAGCAAGGTGTCATTCCAAGGTGCAAGCAGCAATGAAAATCCTGCTCCTGCTCAGCAGCAGCTGTATCCACTACAACAGCAAAATCAACTGGAACTGCAACAGCCTGAACAAAACCAGTTTCTGCTCCAGCAACAGGTCTACCAGCAGCCAGAACAAAGCCAATTAGCTTTTCAACAACAGATCTTGCAGCAACCATTGGCAGCCAGCTACGTTGCTAGTGTCCAATTCACCGAAGTCCAGCCAATCGCCACTCCCATCTATTCCTATACCCCAGCTCCTTTGGTTCGCATTCTGAGGTATGCACCTAGGTACCAATAAGTGACCTAATAGCCTTGAGGCTGTACAATATTTACAATAAGTATTTTTAATAAATTAATGAAACTGAAAAGTAAAAGTTCTATAACATCTGTAATTAATAAATATATTGTACCAAAAGTAGAACGGTTTTTTTTTATAAGAATGTCTACCAATAGATAGTATTAAAATAGTCTCTGTCTTGACATATTAATATTTAAATCCATTACAGTCCCGTGTCATATTGTTATCCACAGTTATAAATCTCAATAAATAAAATATTTTAAAAAGTTTCTTTACAATAATCTTGTTAGTTTCCAAAATGAAATTTATAAAACTATGGAGGCATTAATGTTCCATGAACAGTTGGAGGATTTTGTTGTCGTTTCTATTCCTATACGTTTATGAATATTAAAATGGTATATATTGTTAAATCTATATTGTTGTTTTAAAATGTTAATAGTATCTGAATAAATGATTTACTTACAATTTATTTTTAATTTGTATTGTTTGATCAAAGTGTGTAATTAATTCAAAATATATTGTTAAGAACCTGAATCTTTAAAAAGTAATAGGTAAATGAAAGTATTCAAACAGATAAAAGATTAGATTACCTTCCTAATTTAAATTACTGTGATACCGATTATTGAAAAGATCTAGAGATCAGAGCTCTTCTGGGCACACCTGACACTTCCTCTCCAAGATCCGAGAACTTATATTTCCGTAGATCCAGATACTCTATAACCCTTACTTGTTACGTTAGCATAACATGTTCACTTGGCTTTACCATTTTTTTTTTTTTTTTTTTTTTTTGCTTCTTCACTACCGAATGTAAGGAAGCATTATATTCATGGGAGAGCTTCAAAAAAATATGTGCTCGGAATGCAAAATCCAAAATTTCAACTCCCGTTTAACATTTCAGACATCAAGGATCAAATTTGGTTCTGTGTCTGTCTATCTGTCGGTCTGTCTGTAGTCAAATCGATGTGACGGGTATATCACCTAGTACCTTTCATGAAATTTTCAGGGATTGTACAGCTTGGTGCCTAGATGGGTCCATATCAATTTTATGAAATTTCATTCAGTACTTCCGCTTACTTTATGTTTTAAGAAATACCAATATTTTAGAAGCAGCTCGTTCGATTATGCTCAAAGTTGGATAAAAGATACATATTGGTAAAAAATAATGAGCCAATTTTATTGAATTCTGTCTACTACTTTCTCTTATATATGCGCAAAGGCGTTTTCCTTGATATTTCTCTACCTCTAAAACCGCCCACATTTGAAGAGAAGTTAGGGATTGGTAAACAGATAATCAAGTATGTATGAATTTTATCAAATTCCGTCCATTTCTCCCAAAAAAAAACTTCCTCTTTTAGATCTGAAAATTTATTATTTAACACGCCTATAGTATGAAAACTGCGTGTTCAATTTGATCCAAACTTGGAGAATAGAATAGAGATTGCCTATTATCAATTTCATTGAATTCCATTTAATAATTAAAATTAATATAAATAATTTTCAACAATATAATGGCTGTGAAATGTGGAAGGCATTGATCAGTTGGCGTGGCAGTTATGTTAACCCGACATTTCCATAGGGTTATAAAATTATAGGTTTTAATCAAAAAGTTAATTTATACTGTATTGTTTGTTCGGTTCCAAACGTTACTGGCATGACACTTACTGCCGTTACTTAGGTTTAGTGTAATTTGCAGTAAATTTAAACCAAATTTTCTCTGAGTTTGTATATTAAAAAAAAAAAGTCTTATTTGTGATTGTGTTTATTTCTATGGAACATAAACTAGTTCGTTGTGGTCTCGATTTCATTCTTAAATATCATCACACATATTTTTATATTAGAGTTTATTTCGAACAAACAAAAAGGTGCATTTTTCCAATTCAGTATAAATCACTATATATATATTTTTTTCTCGGTTGGCACTACAGACCATGAAGATCTTTGGACGCGAGATGTGGTCTCCTTACAGACGTTTGTTGCTTGCGGGAACTCAGATGGCCTGAAGGGAGTCACCCAACCTCACGTTACTACGAACCATGATTTCCATAGTGCAGCGGCAGGCCACCCGTAGCTCCATAGCCGATTCCATTGGGGCCAATCTAACAGTGTCCTCAAGGACTCAAGGGTTCAAGGACCGTGACAAATCGGTCTGGATCCATGGATTATGGCTGCTCGGAGTCAGCAGGCTCACGAGGACCTATAGTTCTTTCCCCGAAACAGACCGTTCCTGGACCGAACCTCAGGGAGGCTACTAACATCCTGGTAGACCACATCCCGACTCACAATTAACTACACGGGGTAGGGTCATCAGTCCTAAGCCAGGTCGGCGTGAATTGTCTCCAGTAGGCTGACGGGTCTCACATACCCGGGGAGGGGGGAGACTCGGGCAGCTTGGCTTTCCCTGGTGGAAAGTCCCTCGAATCAGGCGGTCACCCATCCAAGTCACTACACAATACTAACCAAGCTCGACGTTGCTTAACTTTGGATTACCTATTGCTAGCGCCTTAGCCCGTACGGCTACCCCAGCCCCCTTTTATGTATATATATATATATGATACTTTCCGTTGACAGAATGACTAATCCCAATTTCAACATTCTTTATTATTAATTTTAGTGATGTTTCTAGTGGCAAAATTTATAGCTTTATCCACAGTTCTATGCTTGAACACTGCAATCACCTACTCTGGAATCAACTTACTCACTGACTGTATAGATAACTTTTTCAACTAGAAATATCACTAAAATGACATTACCCAAAAATGTTGAAATTGGAGTTAGTTATTCTGTCAACTGAAAGTTCAGATACTGAATTTATGGCGTTTTTAAAAGCAGATTGAGTAATTGGACTTTTATTGCCTACCGGAGATATAATAAATAAACTTTTGTTATTTTCATTTTGGTCTTAATATTTTTTTATCTGTAAGCTTTAAGATTTAGCTCCGTTTTAAATTCATTTCAAAAATTTTATAATAGCCCAGCATTGCCAGAAAATGATTTCTGTTCAAAGTAGAGAGATAAGTGAAAGTTCTGTGCTGCGCGCAGCAGATCCTTTTTTTTTTTTTTTGTAATCGTATGTTTTTATTTGATCGCTGCCGCGTTCCTAAATATGTTGCTGGATTGGCCCAGTTTAAACACGACTCAGTTATGTTATTTATGGTGTGGTGTCAAGATAAGCGAGTGACAGTCTATTATTAAAGGTTTCCACTTCGTAGATTTGAACAGAATTGAAACCCACAGATTAACTGAGAACAAAAATCAATGTTTTCCTTATCTGAATTTTGTTAACTACACACCGTTACTAGAATATTCGATGTTGGTACTCATAAGCGCAGTTTCTAATATATATTCTCATAAGCGCAGTTTTTTCATTGCGATTGGGGAGGAAGAAGGAGAGGTGACAGACCAGAAAATTATGTCGGGAGTTTATATTATGAATAAAAATTATGTTTCAATATAAACATTAAATTGGAAATCACAATTACTGTATAACGAATAATATCAGGTGGCAAGTAGGGAAATGCCGCAAGCCTCAGCCTAAAGGGAGCCTGGAATTGTTTACAGTTTTTCTATTATTCAATTTTTGCTTTCACTAACCTATATATGTAATATATAGTAAGGGAAAGTATTGCGATCTTGAAAATTTTCGAATCTGAGTTTTCAACGGAAATACACGTTTTGTTGTCCCCTGAGTCCATATAACGAAGTTCCGCAAAATGGTCCCTGTATGTGAACAGCGTAGCTCAAAAAACACAAGTCGTACGAAACTGATATTACGTATTTAAGATAGATACATGCCTTAGATATGGCAGTAACTTTTGCCTTAAAATCGGCTAACCGGAAGTGCCACTTTATATTGAATTAAGTTAGAAAAAAAAATTTAAATCCACCGAATCAAGCCAATGCCCTTGTTTAAAATACTATTTCATTGCACTTGTGTGAAAGAAGAAGTGAAACATAAAAATCTGGCGCGCGCAACACACAACTTTCACTTACCGATCTACTTTGAATATAAATTATTTTCTGGCAATGTTGGGCTATTATGAAATTTTTTGAAGTGCATTTTAAACGGAGCTAAAGCTCAAAGCTTACAGATAACAAGTAATTAAGACCATTATAAATTGTCTATTTAATATATCGACGACAGGCAATAAAAATCTAGTCACTCCATCTGCTTCTATAAACCACACAACTTTCTTTGCTTTCATAAACCACAGAATGACTAACTCCAATTTCAACATTTTTGAGTGAAGTCATTTTAGTGATATTTTTAGTTGAAAAAGTTATCTATGCAGACAATGGTGAGTTGATTCCAGAGAAGGCGTGGTGATTGCAGTGTTGAAATATAGAACTGAGAATAAAGTTACAAATTTAGGTACTTATTTCTTATGAAAGATGTTCTTAGGAAAGATACTTTATTAAATATCTGCAGAAAAAGGTTTTTTAGTCTCAACAATTAAACAATTAAAAGTATATTCTAAATTTATTCAAATTTTCGCCACTTCAGGGGAAAAAATAGAGGCCATATCTTTCCTCCTAATTATCCGACTTTAACGATTTTTTTTTTGTTTTCTTAGGAAATTCCATAAACTTTTAAAAAACCATATCCAATATCCACAAAAAGCGTATACTTTTTGAGTTATTCGGAATTTAATTTTACCATCCCTCGTAACTTTTTTCTCCAGCTTCTTTTCGTTGAATTATGTTATTTAGATAAATTTAAAGGGTCTCGAGAAAATGACTTTAGTTTCATTGAAATCGATACATTCGTTTAGGCGCTACTGTCTACTGCAACGCAGATTTTTTTTTTTTTTTCTCCTTTATTAACTTATCAAATTCTTTCAAAAGTTATATGTAGCATTTTTTTATAACTCCGAATAATGCAAAATGATTAACTTTTTAAAATAAACCATATTAAAGGTACTTTAGAGGAAGACATATATGAACATTGGGCATTTAAGCCCTGTGAAGTTAAATCAACGGGAACTTGTAATCAAAGACTTGTAAATTGTAAAGACAAGAAATTGTAAAAAGGTGTTTCAGTGTCCATATAAAGTGACACTTCCGGTTAGCCGATTTTAACAAAAAAGTTGCTGTCACGTGCGGCCGATATACAAACCTTAAATACTTAATATCAGTTTCGTACTACTTTTCATTTTTGAGCTAGACTGTTAAAACACACACACACAGACCATTTTACGACACTTGGTTATTTGGACTTAGGGGATCTCAAAACATATATTTCCGTTGAAAACTGAGATTAGAAAATT